GATCTAGGTACGACCAACCCAATATGGCCGGTCAAGCATCGCGATCGTTTTGAAAGGTACACTCAGAACAAAAATTTTGTACCGCTTAATTGAAAAGTTTGACATTTGTGAATGTGAGGTTATGAGTGTTGCATTTTAGATTATAAAATAAAGGCTTTTTGTTTAATTATTAATATTTGATTTTATGTCGACAAATACAAAACATTATAACATAAAATATATTTGTGCTATTTCAGGTTTGTTGAGAAGTAACAATTTATATATCAGAGACATACATTTTTTAAAAACTATTCTAATCTGAATCTCTATATGAAATATCACTGTCTGATTCACCTAAATTAATAATAAATCTCTCTTCATTGTCGAATAGCTGATCTTTTGTCATATATTCATTTCTAATTTTCTCAACGTGGTTAGGGGAGTTATTTGATTTACTGCCTCGTGAATTAGATTTTCCATATTTATTAATCCAATATTACCAGAGGCTATTTTTCTCTTCACCATACTCCAAATTAGCTCTATTGGATTCAGGTCACAGTGATACGGAGGAAGGCGTAATACAGTATGACCCTTCGATTTTGCATACTCATCAATTACATACTGTGGTGATGGTTTGTACCTCCTAACGATTTCTAGTAGCTCGCATTTTAACATTTGTGGATGGTATGGTATGTTCATCGATTGTAGCCAACAGATTATATCATTTTTCTTTGATGAAGAAGTAGGAGGCCTATGTATTTGTACTGAATGGTAAGGCGCATTGTCCATAACGATTATTGAATTATCCGGTAAATTTGGTAGCACTTGTGTTTTGAACCATTTTGAAAAGTTCTCAAAATTCATTTCGTCATGATAATCACCACTTTTTGTTTTTGATTTAAATAAAAGGAAACCGTTCTTAATAAAACCCATACTGCCTCCACAATGAGCAATTATCCATCGTTGACCAGCTCCATCTTTTTTCAAAACTCCATGTTCGTCAGGACCTTGCCAACATTTCGAAACAGTATAATTTTTATGTACGTAGCTTTCATCCAAATATACAACAGGTATCTTATTTTCACCAAGTTCATCATTGGCTTTTAGGAAACGTAAATAACGAGCGCTTCACGCAACAATATCATATCGCTCCATCAAATATTTTCTATTAGACTCACTCTTTTTATATTTAAATCCCATATCAATTAAAATTTTCCGTAACGTCTCTTTCGAACCTTTGAATTGGGTTTCATTTACCATGAAGGCATGTAACACATTAAGAGTTGGGACTGTCTTATCAACTGTATATAAAGAGTGAATTTTATTGCGAAGTACACATCTACAACATAAAACCAATGATATAATAAATACTCACACAAGTTACCACAAAAAGTTACCTGTCTGTATCATCTAACAAAATCTGAGGTGACCTTTTAACGAAGCTAGTTTTAACAATATCCATCGATGAAGATTGTGCTTCGGCCTGAGGTGGCTCATTTTCCTTATTACAAAGCGTCAGTTTAATTCGCCGAATTGTTCTCTCGGATTTCCCTGTCATTGCTGCCACACGACTTATAACCTGGTCAACACAAAATGAATATCTTCCTGCCGCCTTTTCATTCTCGCAAAATGTGATAATATTCTGCCGTATTGTGAGCGCTTCGCTCTGCTCGGATTTTCTCATGGACATGTTTGTAATATACGTATCTAATTGTGAAAATAAATTATATACATACATATCTGACACCTATTAAAATTAACATTACTGACCTGAAAATCAGATGAGAAGGGCTTTTGCTCTGAAAAGAACAGTTAATAGATAAACGAAATAGAACGATAATAGAAAATAAACTCGATAAACTCACAAAACCGTAATCTAACTCAAGCAACGCTGTCAAAGAAATGAAATGTCAGAAATATATCAAATACATGTTGTTTTATTTGGTAATTTGACTGTACTACAGGAAAATATATAGGTCAAGGAGGTGAGGGGTAAGACATTTCCTATAATAGTTCGCATATTTTCCGCCGGCCAAATCCAACTGGTCGCACAATAGCTCTTATAATCATAATTTATTCGGGGTTTTCCCCAAGTTTTCCAACTTTAAGGCCCACTTTTACCACCTCTTGATAAATTTAACCGATAGATAAATTGGGTAATTATCTATCGGATAAATTTATCAAGAGGTGGTAAAAGTGGGCCTAAGTCAAATAAAAACCTTATTGTTATCTTTTGTATATGTTATTGTAATGATTAGATTATATGTGATTTTTTTTTAATTTTCAGCTTTAATTTGGTATAAGAATTTCATATGCTTAATAATTACTTAACCCAGAAATATAGAAACTTATATTAATAAAATATATGATATATAACACATTCTATATTATATATAACTTTTAATTCTGTTTTTTGATTGGCTACAAGAGATCATGTGAGGACTTTAGTGTCATAAAAATACCATTAACTACAAATCAATTTGTAAGTTTAAATTTTTAATACTACTCTTGCGTCGGTCCGTTACGATGTTATTCAACGTTCAATAATATTACGTCTTTATGTAAGCAACGGTCGAAATGGCGAACATTTTGGGTTTCTATATTGTGGAGAAATATTTTCGTAAAAATCATTTTTGGCCCACCTCAACTGGATTTCGAGGACTCGCGCCGTTTACTTTAATCATTATAAACATACTATGGGGGATTTATTCGCTTATAATTGAAATTACAAGTGAGTATAATTTAAAATTATCAAAACGATGCTATTGGGATTATATTTAGATTTTAAGGCGAATTTTGTAAAACTGTTATTTTACGTGGAGTTTATTTTGCTGGCATCACTGTGCTTATGGGGAAATTTAGAATTAGTACGCAACAAACGCCATTTATTAAATATGATTGATTTGTTGAGCGATTTTAATGAATTTGGCGTTCCGGAAAGAATTCAATTTGTCGATAAAATCTTGAAAATTATATTAAAATCGATAAACTATGGAGGATCATTTGTAGTACATCTAGCGAGTTATCTTGTGATGTTTCAAGATGATTGTGTTATTGATCAAAATTTTAAAAATTGTTTGGTACATCAATTCTACGTTCCACTCAACTTGAACCACTGGGAAGCGACATTAATAATGTTATTTCAAATATATTCTTTCACCATTATGGTGATTATTATGTTATTTGGAATAGTTTTGTATTGGTATTCGGTTGAATTACTGGTTATCCGCATAAATAACCTTAACGAGATGCTTGATAACATAACTTTAACCAAAAACAAGAAAATGAACTATAAAGTTTTGCGCCCTCTAATCATGTATTATCAAAAAATAGTCAGGTAAATAGTATAAATACGTTTTCTTTATGTTTTTGTAAATAATTAACGTTGTTTTAGAATGTTTCGATTCGCTAGTAGTTACTACGTAAGATTCCTTGTGCCTATAAAAGTTTGTTGTTCCCTTGTATTAACTACATCTATTACTGAATTTGTTATAGTTTGTATTTCATATTAATATATTGTATTTTTTAACTTATTTGTGTAATAATTTTAGACGAAGGACTTAATAAATTTAATCATTATAATAGCAAATTTTTTGGGAATATTAATATGCTATTCAATTGCAGAACGATTTACTACATTGGTAATTACACAAATTAGAAAATAAAACAAATAATATTGACATAGTTTGTTATTACAGGCTAATACCGTGTCAATAGCCATTTATAATTTGAATTGGTTCGATGCTGACGTTTCAACACGAAACGATGTTTTATTATTACTTACTACATGTCAAAAACCACTAGTAATACAAACTCCTTTATTTATGGCAGTATCACATGTTGCAGTTGCACAAGTAAGTTAGATCATTTAAAAATGGTAAAATAAATGTTATATTTTAGGACTACAAAAGGGTTTATATCTTCTGCAATTGGATACTAAAAGTTACAAACTGAAGATTTTGAAAAATACTTCCTCCTTTAATAAACCTCCATCTAATACATGCTTATTTTCTACATACTTCCCATCTATAACTTCAAGTATGTGAGGAGTGTCTCAAAATCTTTTTGACTTTTTGTTCCCTAATTAAATATCTTTTTCAGGCAATCAATATTAAGCAACACTCATTTTCAAAAAATCATAACAAATCGGGTTTTAATCAAATCATTATGAAACTCTCAGCAATTGTTATACAAATTATGAGCTTTATTTGGGGCAGCATCACATGTTGTAGCTGCAAAAGTAAGTTAGATAATTTGAAAATGGTAAAATAAAAGTTATATTTTAGGGCTACAAAAGGGTTTACATCTTCCACAATTAGATCCTAAAAGTTACGAAATCAAGAAATATTTAAACTTTTAATAAATGTTAAAAAATTGTTGATAAAGCTGTGTACTTTTCTCTCAATAAACTAAATTTGATTCACTTTTAGTTGTTTTAGTACTTACAAAGCAACAAACCACTTTACAAGCTGATATCTCGATTAACATCATTGAATTTATAAGCTTTTAATCTTTTGAAGCGATTTCCAATAATTTATGCTATTACGATATTGCCTATGACAATTCATTATAAAAAGCTGGTATTCGAATAAGCGCCATCTAGTGTCGCTTTATGTTAATAAACTTATTAATTAGAAACCTCTGAAAGAAGATTACCCCTATGTTTGAGCCTCAAAATCTCAAAGTAATTCGTCAGTGGAGAGTCGAGGATTAAATTCAATGACTTACCTTTGATCTCAAAGACTTCATTAAAAAGTTACATCCTCAATTTATTCTGCTCAACCATCCTTAACCTCAATTATTCAGTTAAATATCTTCATTTCTACCCCGAACATCGAAAGAGATTAGTTCAAAATACATTTTTACGATGGAAAGGAATCTAAAGCTAAAGGATGCATCTTCTAAAGGAAAGGTGCGATGATTTTTTGAGTTGGAGTCAATTCCTGAAATTAAATCTATGAGGAAAATATATAGAAAGAGAAAACTGTAAAATTGTAAAGATAATTACCGGCGTTGTGTAATTTGTTATTAACTTTATTGTTACATTAACTTTTGAATACTTCTTATGACATTAGCTCCATCTTCCAACGTCATCTCTTACCAACTATTAGTTGATAAGAGGTGCCAACATAACTATTAAGTAAAAAAACTTAAATAAAATTAATTTAATAATTTATTTATTTTTGAAAAAAGATTAATTAATTAATATTATTAGAAGGGTTGTAATAAATCTGATTTATTAATTAATAATGTATTTAATAAATGTTTAAACTTTTCTTTAAAAAAATGTGACATTTAAAACGTCAACGAAACAAACTTAACCTAACTAAATATTAAAACTCAAAACAATTTTCACCAAATTAATTTTAATAATGGATTTATTAACTTGTAGATGTTGCAATATACAATTACACCCAGAAACCATTTCGTTTCCATTAAATATGAGAGAATCCCTAAATGAATTAACTTTACAAGAAAAATTACAAAAATGTGTTCCAGAATTGGTAAAAACATAATTTTTGTGTATTTTGTTATCCAAATAATCTGTTTATTCTTGCCCTAGGGAGTTAATAATGACCCAAAAGTCGTTATGTGCGTTAGTTGTTACTCTCAGTTAAGAACAGCTTATGATTTTATATTGATGTGCTTAAAAACAGAAAACGATTTATCACACAACAAAAAAGAAGAATTAGAAAACCCCACAACCACATTAAACGATATAAATAAAGTACCCAATAAAGAAATGGAACAAATTGTAGATTGTAAGATATCAATTAACCGTTTACCTCGAGATATTAAAGTGAACGAAGCTGTTTATGTATGCGAAAATTGTAAATCGTTATTTTTATCGAAATGGCATTATACAGAGCACCTTTCAAGAACTAAAAAATGCTTCTTAACTTGTTTTTTGTGTAATATTAATTTTAGTTCTAACGTTATCTTTGAAATGCATATGAAATTTATGCATTCGCAACATTACAGTTGTTACAAAGTAATTACTCCCGAATTATCAATGATAATACATAAAAATCAAGAGGATGAATGTACACAACCTGTTGAAAACATGGAAGAAGACGAAAACTTGGAAGTAAATGTAGATCAAAACAAAATTAGTAAAAATAAAAATGGATCGGTTAAAAGATTTCGATCTAATCAAGATGTAAAATGTGTTTTTTGTAGAAGTGAATTTCTGAATATTGTTTTATTACAACAACATTACAATTCGCATCAATTGTATTGTTATAAATGTCTTAAATGCAACAAAATTGATGTGGACAAAGACCGACATAACAATGAATGTAATTCGAAGGATTTCATAGAACCAGATTTACCAGATAAACGATGCCCTTTTTGTTTTAAATATTACTCGAATTTGCAAGATTTAAGAAACCATCTTAACACCCACAATAAATTCAAACTTTATTGCTATAAATGTTCCCATCATTTCAACAGTATTTGGGAATTTGCTTTACATGTAATCATAAATAAATGTAGATGTACTCAGTTCGTTCAAAACAGCGAAAACTCTGTGTGTTGTCCTATATGCAAAAAGATTTTAAGCACAAAAAAGATTCTTCAAGTACATTTCTACGCCCATTCGTTCAACACGACGGTTTGCGCAAACTGTAATAAACCTTTTTATGATAACTTGGTGTTCGAGGAACATTTAAAACAATGCCAACCCTTAATTGAAGTTGAAGCAAATATGGAAAATTCAAAAATGGATGTTTGTTTGAAACAGGAGGATGTGGAAAACATTGAGAGTGACGCCTTGGAAGAAAATAATTTTACTGCTGATATTGATGGAAAAGATATGGATGCTTTTAGAGATCTTTATATGGAGTTTCATTCTAATCCGTTATTGGAGAAAGCTGAAGCGTCCCTAATTCAAAAAAGATTAAACAATTTGAGTGGAAATGATGATGTTCGAGGTGCATCAGATTATGTTAATGTGATGACTTCAAAAGTTTAATTTAATATTTATTTTATACTTTAATGGGTAATAAAAATCCTTTAAAATAAGTTGAATCTAAGAAATTGTAATTTGCATAATAAATCTGTATTAAATTACCTTTAAAATGCTTGTTATTTCGCTATATCACAACCCGTTCTTGAGATACGATCTTTTTAATTTATGTGGTTATGAAATCTAAGAAATTATTTATGGCACACTAACTCTACATTAAATTTGCTTTAAAACGCTTTGTATTTCATCATGATATCTCAATTCGTTTTTGAGATACAAGTTTCTAAATTTCTATTTATAAAAAATAAAGATGCAGAGTTGGGTTTAAAAAATTCTAACAACGAAAGTCATAGAACCTAAGAAATTATTTATGGCACACTAAATCTGTACTAAATTATCTTTTAAATGCTTGTTATTTCGTTATGATATCTCAAATTATTCGTGAGATACGATCTTTTTAATTTGTGGTTAAATCTATGAAAATTAAACATGTAGAGTTGAGTTTAAAACATCATAACAACGGAGTTTATGAAATCTAAGAAATTATTTATGGTACACTTATTCTACACTAAATTTGCTTTAAAATCCTTCTTATTTCATCATGATATCTCAATTCGTTTTTGAGATACAAGATTCTAAATTTCTATTTCTAAAATATAAATGAAGATGCAGAGTTGGGTTTAAAAAATTCTAACAACCAAAGTCATGGAACCTAAGAAATTATTTATGGCACACTAAATCTGTACTAAATTATCTTTGAAATGCTTGTTATTTCGTTATGATATCTCAAATCGTTCTTGAGATACGATCTTTTTAATTTATGTGGTTAAATCTATGAAAATTAAACGTATAGTGTTGAGTTTAAAATATCATAACAACGACGTTTATGAAATCTAAGAAATTATTTATGGTACACTAATTCTACATTAAATTTTCTTCAAAATGCTTCTTATTTCATCATGATATCTCAATTCGTTTTTGATGTACGATTCTTTTTGCTTAAAATGTCAATTTTATATGATTAACTTCAAAAATGTTTTTAGGTTGAAATAGAAGAAATAATCAAACCGAAAGGAAAAATTAATTAACAAAATTTATTACTTAACTATAATAATTATCTTAAAATATTAAATTAATAAATAACACTCATTTCTTAACTAGTAAAAATAATTCTATCTGTACTTGCAAGCGGTTTTTTCCCATATCCTCCATATCCCCCACTTCCCGATCCAGGATATCGATTTGATAAAGATCTTCTACAACTCGTCCCACGAACTGCATCATCAGTCGTAACCGATTGTATCCTAAAATTAATTTCTTGCGGGTTTAACGTACCCACAGCAACTTTTTGGAACCGCGAAGTTAAAACCCAAAGTTCTTGAAAACCTTGCGGATGATTAACGATTTTTAAACCACTCGCAAATTGGAGCGTTTTCGGATTGTACTCAACCAATTGGATGTTTTCGCCGCCGTAAGGAAGATCTGTATTCCAACAATGAATCGAGGTTTTACTCATTTGGCCGAAAAATGCAACGCCGTTTTTATCGATTCCTTCAGCTGCTGTTTGGGAGTCTCTTTTACCTTTATATGTCTAAAATGAAAAAAAAGAAAATTAAAAGAAACAAGTATTGGGTTATTTAGTTACATGGAAAATATCTGGATTTGTTAATGGTCCGTGACTAAAAAGGGATTCATTTCTCAATTGCGAGGTGTAAACCCAAGTTTCTGTGGCACTCGACATGGCGTGGAAAAAAAGTTTTCTATCTCTACCAGGAACGTATGGTTCTAAAGCCATCCCTAAAACTCCATCCATCAAATCGAACGAGTCTCCTTGAATGCTGTAAGTTCCATATTCCGGGCTTGGATACATCGATTTATCACTAACTTTCCAAGCTTTGTTGTTGAAAGCGTCGTAAACAACGATTGAGAATGCTTGGCAATCAGCGAGGTAGACGAAAGTTTTTTGGCAATTATCCCTGGTATCAACTATTGGGGTGACGAAAATTGAAGCGTCCGAATAAAGAGATTTGTCGAGATCAAACTGATGAATCTTCCTATTCTGAAAAGAAAAAATAAATAAATTTATTTTAATAAAATTAATTCCTTAATACTTACATCTTTTAAATCGAAAGCTATAATTTGCGGTGGACACACTTGTTTATCTAAAATTTTTCCAGTATCCATCACCCACAATTTATTACATTTCGAATCAACTTGAACTCTAAAAACTGAAATAATACGATCTGGGCCGCAAGATTGCGAATGTCTTTGAGACGACCAATTCGGGTAAGGTTTTATTTTTGGGATTGTCCCTGTATGTCCTTGGATAACCCCTAAAGTTACGGGAACCCCCGCTTGAAATCGGGGAATTGCAACAAAAATAACTGGTTTAGCTTCATCTAAAAAAATAATTTATTTAATCAATTAAATAATAAGAAAAATATCTTACGGGCATAATAAACATCAACATCAATCGGTGCAATTTCTCCTTGATGAAAGTTTCCTATTTGTATATCGTGTTGTCTTGCCGAATCAGATTCGTAATCGAAATCTAACGAAGTCCATTCGTAGATTTTTTTGAACTTGGAGCTTTGGCCATAAGCGATCGATGCGTGGCATAACCCCAATATTAAGCAAAGGTATCTATCTGCATAAAGAAAAAAAAATCAACAAATTTAGTTATTAATCGGGAATAATGTCAATGTCGTTACAAATAAGTAAAGATAATCGCTTTTTAATTTGTAGTAATGCCCATAAATTGGAGTTATTAAGATTGGTATCTTAAATGGAGGTATTTGAAAATGATCGGCAGTTCAATTCAATTAAAGCTTTCACTCGAATTATTACTTTTAACACTATTAAGCGAAGTATTTCGAATTATTGTAAATTTTGTAAAAAATCTCGTTTTTCTCAAAATCTTGATTCATTAAAAAAGTAATAACTTATTTATGGGATTACCTCAACTAGTTCTTGAGATGGGATTTTTTTTAGTTAATTTGCTTAAAATATATCACAAAAAATTCCCGTTTAATAAACCGTAACAACGGAAGGTATGGATTCTAAGATATTATTTATGGCACACTAACTCTATATTAAATTTGCTTTAAAATGCTTCTTATTTCATCATGATATCTCAATTAGTTCTTGAGATACAAGTTTCTAAATTTCTATTTATAATAAATAAATGATGATGCAGAGTTGGGTTTAAAAAATTCTAACAACGAAAGTTATGGAACCTAAGAGATTATTTATGGCACACTAAATCTGTATTAAATTATCTTTGAAATGCTTGTTATTTCGTTATGATATCTCAAATCGTTCGTGAGATACGATCTTTTTAATTTATGTGGTTAAATCTATGAAAATTAAACGTGTAGAGTTAAGTTTAAAACAACATAACAACGGAGTTTATGAAATCTAAGAAATTATTTATGGTACACTTATTCTACACTAAATTTGCTTTAAAACGCTTCTTATTTCATCATGATATCTCAATTCGTTTTTGAGATACAACTTTCTAAATTCTATTTACAAAAAATAAATGAAGATGCAGAGTTGGGTTTAAAAAATTCTAACAACGAAAGTTATGGAACCTAAGAGATTATTTATGGCACACTAAATCTGTATTAAATTATCTTTGAAATGCTTGTTATTTCGTTATGATATCTCAAATCGTTCTTGAAATACGATCTTTTTAATTTATGTGGTTATATCTATAAAAATTAAATGTGTAGAGTTGAGTTTAAAACATCATAATAATGAAGTTTATGGAATCTAAGAAATTATTTATTGTACACTAACTTTGTATTAAATTTGCTTTAAAATGTTTCTTATTTCATTATGATATCTCAATTAGTTCTTGACATACAAGTTTCTAAATTTCTAGTTATAATAAATAAATGATGATGCAGAGTTGGGTTTAAAAAATTTTAACAACGAAAGTCATAGAACCTAAGAAATTATTTATGACACGCTAAATCAGTATTAAATTATCTTTAAAATGCTTGATATTTCGTTATGATATCTCAAATCGTTCTCGAGATACGATCTTTTTAATTTATGTGGTAAAATCTATGAAAATTAAACGTGTAGAGTTGGGTTTAAAACATCATAACAACGGAGTTTATGAAATCTAAAAAATTATTTGTGGTACACTAATTCTACGTTAAATTTGCTTTAAAATCCTTCTTATTTCATCATGATATCTCAATTCGTTTTTGAGATACAAGATTCTAAATTTCTATTTCTAAAATATAAATGATGATGCAGAGTTGGGTTTAAAAAATTCTAACAACTAAAGTCATGGAACCTAAGAAATTATTTATGGCACACTAAATCTGTATTAAATTATCTTTAAAATGCTTGTTATTTCGATATGATATGTCAAATCGTTCTTGAGATACGATCTTTTTAATTTATGTGGTTATATCTATAAAAATTAAATGTGTAGAGTTGAGTTTAAAACATCATAATAATGAAGTTTATGGAATCTAAGAAATTATTTATTGTACACTAACTTTGTATTAAATTTGCTTTAAAATGTTTCTTATTTCATTATGATATCTCAATTAGTTCTTGAGATACAAGTTTCTAAATTTCTAGTTATAATAAATAAATGATGATGCAGAGTTGGGTTTAAAAAATTTTAACAACGAAAGTCATAGAACCTAAGAAATTATTTATGACACACTAAATCAGTATTAAATTATCTTTAAAATGCTTGATATTTCGTTATGATATGTCAAACCGTTCTTGAGATACGATCTTTTTAATTTATGTGGTTATATCTATGAAAATTAAACGTGTAGAGTTGGGTTTAAAACATCACAACAACGGAGTTTATGAAATCTAAGAAATTATTTATGGTACACTAATTCTACATTAAATTTGCTTTAAAATCCTTCTTATATCATTATGATATCTCAATTCGTTTTTGAGATACAAGATTCTAAATTTCTATTTATAAAAAATAAATGAAGATGCAGAGTTGGGTTTAAAAAATTCTAACAACCAAAGTCATAGAACCTAAGAAATTATTTATGGCACACTAAATTTGTATTAATTTTCCTTTAAAATATTTGTTACTGCATCATGATATCTCAATTAAATCTTGATGTTTTTAGTTTACAAATGTCAATTTTTGGACATGATTAACTTGAAAAAAGATTGTTAAGGAAACATTGAAAATTAATGAATGAAATTTTTTGAGGATATAATAATAGTCTTCTAGGATTTTCAGTTTCTTTGAAAAAAAATTGTAAACTCATTGTAACCTGATCGATATAAACGATAATACTGAAAGATTTATTATTAAATAAAATATTTTTATGAAAATTATAGGATTCATAATTCAATATAAAATATTACAGTCGTGAGCGATATTTTACCATTTTTCGAAACGCTCCCAATCACGGATTCTTTATAGAGCTCGTCCTTTTTGAATCAACCACACTTTCTATATTTTTTCCATCATTTAACACTTTACTCTTTAAAACAAATATATGTAAATAAAATTCAAATATTTACACAACCTTCAAACGATAATAAATTTATGATCCTCAATGACATCTTTCCCTTTTTTATTTACACAAAAATTTCTAATTGTCAACATTTTTTAAACAAATAAATCGAAATCGTTGACCTCCAAAACACAACGGGTGACCGCTAAATATTAAAATTCAATGTCAACGAATAGTATTCGAGTAAAAACGCTGACCCATCGTTAAATTATAGCGTTTTGTTTTGTTCTTTTTTTCTGGTACAAATAGCAGCGTTAAAATTAGGATTAAAATGGCCCAAAGGACGAAAGGTTTAGAAAGCGAAACGATTGGTATTGTTTCTAACTAAACAATCGATCATTAAAAGTATTAGGGGGTTGGTTAAGGTTTTATTTGAAGTAATTTTAATTTATTTGAATTTTTAATAAATGTCAAATTCAAAATGTTTTGTTCAAGAAACGGGATCGGAGAGGTAATTACTATAAGGTGATTGAAAATGAATTGTTTCTTAAGTGTTATTAACATAATAATGAATGTTTCATTTGATGCTAAATGTAAATACAGATGTAAATATAAAATGTAAATTGTTAATCGTATATCAAACACACCCAGCGAGAAAAAAAATTAAATGGATTTTTTTTATTATTGTGTGGATGTTTTTTTTTAGCGGTGTGATATTTCCTGAATGGAAGTGTGAAGGAAAATGTGCAATGGAAAAAACATCGACTGCACCCTTTCGATTCTTTTGTTCGTTAGATTTACTTTTACTTTTCTCTATATTTGTCCAAACAACATTTTTTACAATAATTAATTTAGATTTTTTTTATAACTTAGCAATTACGAACAATGGGATAAAACAATTTATGGATTATCTTTCTTTGCTTAATTTAGAACATTTTTTATCCGAAACATTTCTCTCCGTCGATTTTAGTTTTTGAATCAAAACCAATCTCTTTTAAAAAAGCTTAATTTGTACAAGATTCAAGTTTAAACTCAATAACTTCATAACTATAAACGATGGGATAAAATCGCTTATGGATTATCTTTTTTAAGCTTGTTACAAACAATTTTTATTTGAAACACTTTCATCCATCGTTTTTACTTTATGATTTATCATCAATTTTAATTGTCAAAATCGTCAATTTTGCATTAATACGATTTTTCGCTTTATAAATTAACAATTACGAACGTTGGGATAAAACAATTTATGGATTATCTTTCTTGGCTTAATTTAGAACATTTTTTATCCGAAATATTTCTCTCCATCGATTTTAGTTTTTGAATCAAAACCAATTTCCTTTAAAAAAGCTTAATTTGTACAAGATTCAAGTTTAAACTCAATAACTTCATAACTATACACGATGGGATAAAATCGCTTATGGATTATCTTTTGTAAGCTTATTACTAACAATTTTTATTTGAAACACTTTCATCCATCGTTTTTACTTTATGATTTATCATCGATCTTAATTGTCAAAATCCTCAATTTTGCATTAATACGATTTTTCGCTCTATAAGTTAACAATTACGAACGATGGGATAAAACAATTTATGGATTATCTTTCTTGGCTTAATTTAGAACATTTTTTATCCGAAACATTTCTCTCCATCGATTTTAGTTTTTGAATCAAAACCAATTTCCTTTAAAAAAGCTTAATTTGTACAAGATTCAATTTTAAACTCAATAACTTCATAACTATAAACGATGGGATAAAATCGCTTATGGATTATCTTTTTTAAGCTTGTTACAAACAATTTTTATTTGAAACACTTTCATCCATCGTTTTTACTTTATGATTTATCATCAATCTTAATTGTTAAAATCCTCAATTTTGCATTAATTAAATTTCTCTCCACAGATTGTAGTTTTTGACTCAAAACCAAATTCCTTTAAAAAAATGCCACATTGGTATACATTTTCTAATTAAACTTGCTCAAAAGCTTGTAATTCATTATCTGTCACCTTGAAACCTTAAATTTACGAAAACTGGGTTAAATTCCATTAGAAAATATTTAAAAATGTTGAAACGAAATGTGGTAAGAAATTGAGTAAATTTTTAAAATTAACAAGCTTCCTGTGATGTAAATATAGTCTTTATATTAACAATTTTCATTTACTCAAAGTTATTTTAGCACGGAAACTTTAACTTTCTTTCATTATGTTTTAGTTACCAAACCGCCAATTAAGAACTAGACGATCGAAAATAATCCAAATAAAATTCATACAAAACGCTTTTTTTAATAAAACTTTCCACTTTCCTTTTAAACCTTTAAGTAAACTTAAATAATTTATGTGTAATAATTTAAATTAAATTAATAACCTGTTTGTTGAGCTGAATATTGCGGCACAACATATTCTCTGGAATAAGTTCTAAACCCAAAATCATATTGATTACAAAGCCTCGCCGTTAACAACACTATCAACACAGTTATAACTTTTAATCGAGGCATATCTTAACTTTTTCTACCTATAAACGTTAATAGTTCGTTCACACTTGAGCGATTAGGTGGAACAGACACTCGATTTCGGTTTATAAACACAGTTTACACGTCGAAGTCGCCGGCTAAACTATTAAGAAAACGGAGAGTGAAGTTTAAGAACGAAATCTATTTGCTCCCGACTGATACCACCTCTGATACAAGAAGGAATGGTAAAAGCTCTGTGAATCAAACGCTTCTTATATACGTGGAGATTTGAAGAGATCTACGAGACTTGAATTGTTAATTACCCTTTTTTTATTTTGTTTGATGTTTATTGACACTGTTTTTGTTGTTGATGTCTTTGTCAAGGTGAAATACCTTCGAGATTAACAAATCAAAATGGTAATTTAAAAAGAAATTATTGTCTAAATAACTAAAAGGAATTTTTCAAAAATTAATTATGCATTATATTTTTGAGTTAATTTAGAATGTATTTTCTTAGAAACATTCTTTTCCATCGAATTTAATTTTGACTCAAAACTTGTTTCATTTAAAAAATGCTATATTTATATAAGATTTGATTTTAAAGTCAATAACTTCATAAATATAAACGATGGGATAAAATCGCTTATGGATTATCTTTTTTAAGCTTATTACAAACAATTTTTATCTGAAACACTTTCATCCATCGTTTTTATTTTGTGATTTATCATCAATCTTAATTGTCAAAATCCTCAATTTTGCATCAATACAATTTTTCGCTTTATAAATTATTAATTACGAACGATGGGATAAAACAGTTTATGGATTATGTTTCTTGGCTTCATTTAGAACATTTTTTATCCGAAACATTTCTCTCCATCGATTTTACTTTTTGACTCAAACCCAAGTTTCGTTAAAAAAGCTTAATTTGTATAAGATTTGATTCTAAAGTCAATAACTTCATAAATATAAACGATGGGATAAAATCGCGTAAGGATTATCTTTTTTAAGCTTGTTACAAACAATTTTTATTTGAAACACTTTCATCCATCGTTTTTACTTTCTGATTTATCATCAATCTTAATTGTCGAAATCCTCAATTTTACATCAATTCGATTTTTCGCTTTATAAGTTATTAATTACGAATGATGGGTTAAAACGATTTATGGATTATGTTTCTTGGCTTCATTTAGAACATTTTTTATCCGAAACATTTCTCTCCATCGTTTTTACTTTTTGACTCAAAATCGAAAATGTCTAATTTGCAAATGTCTCGTTTTTAATTTGTAATTTAACACCAAATTTGATTATAGGAATTATGTATCTCACTCTTAATTTGCATTAAATTCGCTTCAAAACGGTCGTTATTTAATCAATTTAATTCGATTCATTCTTGGAATACAATCTTTTAAAAATCTATTTTTGAAAATCTTAGAAAATTTATATTTTAGTGATATTCGAATGATAAAAATGTTGGCAAAAAAGTAATTTGGTTATCAAATTAAGTAAACATCTCTTCAAGAATAAAATCTATCTTTGATCTTTGCCAAGGTTGCGGAAAACGCCGTCGAAACTCGTTAAATTACGAATACGTGCTGTTAACGATTTCTTATGATGTGAAAACAATAACGATTATTTAAATTATTAGTGTTATTCTTTTTTTTTAATTGCGATATGATCATCATCGTGGGCATTACGTTATTTAAAATGATAATTGTGTTTAGGTTGATTATGTAAGATCCTTAATGTGTTTTTCTTTTCATTCAATAACATTATTATTGATTTTAAGTTTTATTTTAAATTGATTTTAAATTTCTAATTTTTAGTGAAAGTAAATTCGTTTATAAATATAAAATAAGCTAAACTGTGTGTAAATAATTTGTTATGTAGGAGAATTTAAACCAAGAAATGGTCATAAATATATTAATGTTTATGTTACATAATTAACGTATACGAAGTTAATTTTCACCTTTTCGAAGTTTTCTCGATATTTATGCATCTGAGAGCAAAAATGTAAAAGAGCAATATTGTTCAAAATTAAGTTTTCTACAACTTTTATATTAAAACTTTTATTCTAAAATGTTCCAATCCTGTGTTCTACCAACAACAACATATAAAACCACGATTTCATTTAATTTTCACCTTTTCGAAGTTTTCTCGATATTTATGCATCTGAGAGCAAAAGTGTAAAAGAGCAATATTGTTCAAAATTAAGTTTTCTACAACTTTTATATTAAAACTTTTTTTCTAAAACGTTCCAATCCTGTGTTCTACCAACAACAACATATAAAACCACGATTTTATTTAATTTTCACGTTTTCGAAGTTTTCTCGATATTTATGCATCTGAGGGGAAAAGTGTAAAAGAGCAAAATTGTTAAGAATTAAGTTTTCTACAACTTTTGTACTAAAACTTTTTTTCTAATATGAAATTGTGCATGAATTACTTTTTTGCTTAAATTTGTGAATTGCGTTTTAAAATTAAGTAAACAAAAATTGTTAGATTTGCTTAAACCTCAAAGATGATCCTTAGAAAGTCAAAATTTTTAGTAAGACGATCAAGTGTATAACATTTCAAGTGGCAAAGGCCGCATATCCATTTACACGTGTCATTTAATCAGGTTACTACATGAAACAATTTATTCAGACCTTTCCTAACAATATTGTGTAACTCCATTCTTATTTTTGGGTCTTTTCAAATTGTAATATTTATGTAAAAACTATTCTTTAATCTTCAAAAATAAAGGAGATATGATTTATTAAAGTTTGACATTTCTTTTTAACAAGTTAGGTTACAATCAAAAAAACAACCATTTAAAAAAAATATTTTGGAATCAACTTTAACATAACATAACAAAGTGTTATATATCAATTTAAAGAAGACACTTTTAGCTTCATTTTGATGTAAAAAGTATTCCTTAATTTTCAAAAATAAAAGAGATATGATTTATTAAAGATTGACATTTATCTTTAACAAGTTAGGTTACAATCAAAAAAACAACCATTTAAAAAAAATATTTTGGAATCAACTTTAACATAACATAACAAAGTGTTATATACCAATTTAAAGAAGACACTTTTAGCTTCATTTTGATGTAAAAAGTATTCCTTAATCTTCATAAATAAAGGAGATATGATTTATTGAAAATTGATCTCTTTAAGAACTTCAACAAGAAGATTGAACGACGGGTTTTTAAAATTATTTCACCTTGACTCTACCATAACCATTTAAGTACTCTTCAGGTCATTTACTTCGGTAAATTTAGTTTGTATCTTTGTTTTTAATTTTTAATTCGAAATTGTTTAAAAAAAAACAATTTATTAAAAAAACAACTTTAAGGAACCTTCATGAATAATTCAATCTTAATTAACAGATTTAAAATATTATTTAGCAATCCCACCAAAAAAATAACTCATTGGGTAATTTCAAAATTCTATCTTTTCAATAAAAGACACCTTAATAAAAGGATCTTGACGTAACGCGATTACCAAACAATTTTTTCGCCTTGATTTGATTCAATGAACAATTTAAAACTGCAAATCGGAATTTAAATCAAAATTTTTCACTCACCGAATGTACGCATTTTTCGAATTTAATCAAAATTTTATTAATCTTGTCCACACTGAACCAATACTCACACGGAATGTTAGCTCATCCTCGTCGGATTCGATTTTATATAGGCGAGTTCGCGCGTCGTACGCGAACTTGTCCCGATTTCCGACCGGGACAAGAACAAACAATAGGAACTGAAGTATAATTTCCCCATAACAGGATTCCCGGAATGATGTTTCTTAAAGAAAATCATAAATCCCCATTCAAAATATGAAATCGAATTTACGATGATACCGAGAAAAATCACCGAATGATTTTTAAATGATCACTACGGACGTGACCTGGTTGGTGATTCTCTTTCTTCGTTTGGGTTTCCCTGCTTCGTAGTATCACAGTTATGACGTCAATTTTATTTTGAGCGTTATCACGTTTTATGTTAATTTGACCTAATGGTCGTTGTGTATTTAGAAAATTAAATATTGTTTGTGTATTAAGCAATTTTAATGATGTGTAATTATTAAAAGTAAATAAATAAGGCTATTTAAGACTAAAATTCTAAAAGGATTTAATTTTAGCTGATTTATTTCATTTTTTGTTATGGTTTAATCGAGTTAAACCACAAATTATATAATTATAGTTTAGTTCTAGATTCCCGACGATAAAACATTGTTATTATAGTTCACTCCATTATAATTAAGCTTTTTGTTTATTCTTAATTTTTTTTTTTACTACTTGTTATACAAAAAAACAGCGAAGGTGATATATATCATTTTAAAAGAGACACTTTTAGCTTTAATTTGATGTAAAAAATATTCCTTAATCTTCAAAAATAAAGGAGATATGATTTATTAAAAATTGACATATTTAACAGCTTAAAAATTGATTAAAAACACAATGAAGCTAAAACGTTTATATCTTAAGAAGTAATTGAGATTTTCTAAATCTGATTTCTTTATTGGAAAGAGGATGGTTTTATTTATAAGTTGTGATAGTTTCATAATTATTGAAATGAAAATCGATTTTTTAGAAATTTTTTAAAAATCGGTGATAACTTAAAAATTGATAAAAAACATAGAGAAGCTAAAACGTTTATATCTCAAGAAATAATTGAGATTTTTTAAATCTGATTAGTTTGTTGGAAAGAGGATAGTTTTATTTACAAGTTGTGATAGTTTCATAATTATTGAAAAGGAAATCGATTTTTCAGAAATTTTTGAAACTTAAAAATTGATTAAAAACATAATAAAGCTAAAACGTTTATATCTCAAGAAGTAATTGAGATTTTCTAAATCTGAATCTTTATTGAAAAGGGGATGGTTTTATTTACAACTTCTGATCATTTTATTTCGATTTTTTGATGATTTTCAAATACGTTTATAAAAATATTGTGTTTACAATAAATTTTGCGTACAAAAAATTTGTGTTATCGCTTTTTTCTCTCTATTAAAATGATTTAGAACAAAAACAGGTTCGTTTAGACACAAACAGGTCATGCACGTGTTTCGACTTGAATACAAGAAGAATGTTTAGCTGATAACATTTCACCTTGCGCATTCACTACGACTTTTCAGTATTGTGTTAGGTAATTTAAAAATAAATCGGAACCTGCTTTATGCGCCATTAAAATAATCTTTAAGTTCCTTCAAAGAAATTTTATTTGTATTTCGTATGTACAGTATGTTATGTAATGTTCTTAGTGCGCAAACGATTTTTCCTTTTGAAGGAAACCGCTTTTTTATTTAATTTACAAAGTAACCCACTTATCTACATATAACAAATTCTTAAATGTCGTGACGGTAAATTATTAGTACTGATTACAAAATAAAAAAATAATAAATCATTTCAGACTATGTCAGCGTTTTATGTTTAAATAGCGACCAGTCTTGGCTCAAATTTAATTTGTATTGAAATAAATATATTCTTATTTTTGATTTTAACTTTGTGAATTAAATGGCATAAAATTATTTGAAGAATACGCTGTTGCTTACTGGGAAAGTAGGCACAGAATTCAACGGAAATCGAACGATCCTCAAATTAACTTCGTTGTTTTTTACAGTTCTTTTGAAAAATCTTTGAAACCGCGTGGTTAAAGCCCAAACGCTATCCGGGTCGTGATTCATCCATCTCAATTCAGCGGGAAATTGTAATCGTTTTCGATCGAAAGCCAATAATCTATTAAAAAAAAAAATACATGATAATAAATCTTTATACACGAGATTATGGTTAATCTTTAATGGTACTTAGAAAAAAAGTTAAGATGGTAATTGTGGTTTTAAACCGAATCGATTAAAAGGAATTTAAACATTTGAATGAAAAATATTGTATTGTTCAAATTTAGTTCAAGATTAAATAAAATAGAATGTTTAAAATATCAAGGTTCAACAAAACAATCACCTTTGTTGATTTGTTATCGGATTCCATGAAGTAACCGAAGTTTCAGTCAAAGGACTAAAAAATAAACTATCATCCCTAGGATCAACCGTTAATCCTAACCCTTGAGACGATTTCCTCCCAGCCAATCGAACGGGCAACTCTTCCCCCTCAGCCAAAGGGCCCTTCCTCAAAACATCCGTCGAAATAGTAAAAACCCGATCGGTCGCCAAAGGTTGATAATACATAAGCCTCAAATTCGGGGAATGCGCCAATCCAACGATCCCATCCATCAAAGAAAATCGTTCGCTATCAATCTCGATGTCGGAATGATCGGGATCGGGGAACATAGTGGGATGGATAAATCTCCAAGCTTGGTCTTTCAACGAATCGTAAACGATGATCCCCGGGGCCGCTGTATCGCTGATATAAACAACGGCGTTATCGCAACTTCCTTGAACACTTTCATCGATTATTAAATTAGTAAAAAGAGACGATGGTCTAATAACTTCCCGAGGAAAAATAACTTGACGCTCAACGACGTCCGTTCGTAAATTAAAAATTAATAACTTAGGGGTACAAACTCGCGTGAAATCATCGATCGAAGTCATAATCCCCGAATCTAACACCCAAAGTCGATTGCAAGAATCCCTTCGTATCCTATAAACCGAGATTAACCCCGAACAATTATTATTATCATTTCCTGCGGAGTGAAACGACCAATCTGGATAAGCTTTTAAAACGGGGCTTGACCCCGGGGGGGTGCGTCGTGGGATCGTTGCTAAAGTTGCGGCAACTCCCGCTCGTAATCGAGGGGTTGCCAAAAATATCCTATCTTCAGTTACTTCTAATCCAGTAAAAACCGAATTTTCTGGGCTAAAAAATAATTATTTGTAATGAAACAATTAAATGGTTATTTTAATTAATTACTTACCGATATTTTGAAGCAAATTCGTAATTGGGAAATTCGTAATCTAACAGATTCCATTGGTTGATGACTTCGAAATCTTGGCAAGCACCGAATGATGTTAGTAAAGTGATGATTGCGATGGGTTTTAACCACATTTTGGGAAACTAGAATAATTAAAAATGGAAAAATTAATTTGTACTTAATAAATAAATAGTAAATTAAACGAAATACTTCGTACGAGAGTACGAAATACAATTCGATGCCAATTTATCAGCTCGTTTTTAATTATAAAGTCGTGAAACATTATTTTCAGGTTAGAGTGACTTGGATAATGCTAGTTAAGTCGACGAAACCTTCTCAATTCGGAATTGAAAAATTTATGTCATTTAGGTTGGTAATAAATAATGATGGGTTAAAAGATTTTATCCATAATGTTTAATAAGATAATTAAGAACATTTTTTGGTTGAATTATAACCGATTTTGATGTTGAAATCGCAATTTTTGAATTTTAATCCTTGTAGGTTGGCAACAACCCATGGTGGATTAAACTAGTTTATTAAATACGTTTCTTGGGTTGATTTGAAATGTTTTTGTCCATAACAAATTTTTCCATTACTTCTAATTGTTGAGTTCTAACTTATTTCATCGTTGAAAACTTCAAATTCTACAATTTCTAAATTATAAGCCATTTAGGTTGGTAATAAATAATGATGGGTTAAAACATTTTATCCATAATATTTAATAAGATAATTAAGAACATTTTTTGGTTATAAATAATCTTTTTATCGATCCTAATTATTGAGTTATAATCGATTTTGATGTTGAAATCGCAAATTTTTGAATTTTAATCCTTGTAGGTTGGCAACAACCCATGGTGGATTAAACTAGTTTATGAAATACGTTTCTTGGGTTGATTTGAAATGTTTTTGTCTATAACAAATTTTTCCATTACTTCTCATTGTTGAGTTCTAACCTATTCTAGAATTTAACTAGAAGTTTTACACTAGTACTATCACTAGAAGTAACACTAAACCTAGAACTAGAAACATTCAGGTTTAGCCGCACGTCTCTCAAGACGGCTAAACCCGAATGATTCTGGTTCTAGATCTTGTGTTAGTTCTAGTGACAGTGCTAGTTAGCATAAGATATCACTATGCTACATATTTTTATTGCACTAAAACTCGATCTAGTGTTAGTTCTAGTTTTACACTATCACTAGAACTAACACAAGACCTACAAGTAGAATCATTCTAGTTTCTAGTTTTAAGTCTAGTGTTAGTTTTAATGATATAAAACTCGAACTAACACTAGACTTTGAGCTAGAAACATTCGGAAACAAATTTCACTTTTTATTTCATGGTGATACCTACATAAATTCGTTCTGAACAAATAAATAAAAAAAGTATAGGCAACTTTGTTAACATCTAACACACCAAATTAACTATAACACCATATTTTTCTTATTCATTTGAAAATCTTAATCACAAAAGCAATCTTGCAATACATATCGCTCATTAATTATCGCATAGGATTAACATAAATTAAATTGTAAGCATTTGATTAATATGTAATTATCACTGTTTGGAGACAAAAAAAGTAATAGATATAAAACAAGACTTTTTACGGCTTTATAAACACTTAATCCATTCGTAACGTTGTGATTAATAGCTCGTGCATAAATGCCAATATTCGTAATAATTATTCTGGTAAATTTGCATTTCGGATTACTTCCGACAAATTATCACTTTCCTATTTTGTCTTGTTCTAACATTTATCCCGTGTAATGACTCATTGAGTTTAAGTTTTGAATTTGTTTATGTAAATCTTATTAAGAGTATTAGAACATTTTTATGGTAATTTTAATCATAATAAGATTATTTGATTATTTTTATCTTATGTTAGTAGTAGCAAAGAATTGAATGGGTGTTATTGTGAAATAGATTGATTGGTGAACGTAAAGGAAGTAAAATGCCACAACATTCCGTGTCATTAGTATAAGACAAGAAACATTGCATGTTTATGCAATTCTATGGCAAAAGAATTGATTGTGGGTTTATTCTTTGCTTTGGGCTATTTTGTACTAATAATCAATATGGAACTAAAGAAACTTGTTAATTTAAATAAAAAAGTATTTAGCTAAGACATAATTATTGGACCAAAAAAAAGGATCCGTATGACACACAACATGCGAAAACAACACTATAAGAATAAGAATGAAAGTAACAAGGCAAGGTTATTTCTCTATAAAGAGGGCGTTGTCCCTATTAAATGTCGCCTTTGTTACTTTATATTACTTTTAAAATTTATGTACTACTGCGGTTAAGATTACATGTTGTGTTTACAAACAGAAAAAAAATGTTTTTCTAATAAATCCCTTAATTGATCTAGAATTTATCGAAATTAAATTCTAAGAGAATGAATTATTAGAAATTTCTTGTCAATTTAACCTTGCAGAAACCAATTATTATACAATTACTTTTTTTAACAACTTGTAAACTTGACAATGACACCACAAATTATATCGATTAACTTCGCGATTTAACTCGATTTATAATTCTTTAAGACAACCCATAAAATAGTTTCTGTTTTACTCAATGAATGCGTTCGTTATTGTATCCATAAAACTTGATCTGGGACAAGAATTGAACTCTTATATAATTTAACCGCTCTCAACAACTTCAACCTACATCAGCGTTAATAATGGTATATAAAGAAATTTAATGTCGAGGTAGTTTTATTGGAATGTTTTCATGTCATAATAAACCAAGAAATATTTAAGGAATTGATGACATTTAGATTTCAAAATAAAATCTTTAATTATTATCGTTTTATTTAAAAAAATCGATTTTATCAATAACAATTTTGAAATGTTAGGCATCAATAATTAGGATCGATGAAAAGATTATTTATAACAAAAAAATGTTCTTAATTATCTTATTAAACATTATGGATAAAATGTTTTAACCCATCATTAATTATTACCAACCTAAATGGCTTATAATTTGGAAATTTTAGAATTTGAAGTTTTCAACGATAAAATAGGTTAGAACTCAACAATGAGAAGTAATGGAAAAATTTGTTATGGACAAAAACGTTTCAAATCAACCCAAGAAACGTATTTAATAACCTAGTTTAATCCACCAAGGGTTGTTGCAAACCTACAAGGATTAAAATGCTCAAATAATGCGATTTCAACATCAAAATCGATTATAACTCAATAATTAGGATCGATGAAAAGATTATTTATAACCAAAAAATGCTCTTAATTATCTTATTAAACATTATGGATAAAATGTTTTAATCCATCATTAATTATTACCAACCTAAATGGCTTATAATTTGAAATTTCTAGAATTTGAAGATTTTAACAATAAAATAGGTTAGAACTCAACAATGAGAAGTAATGGAAAAATTTGTTATGGACAAAAACGTTTCAAATCAACCCAAGAAACGTATTTAATAACCTAGTTTAATCCACCAAGGGTTGTTGCCAACCTACAAGGATTAAAATTAAAAAATTTGCGATTTCAACATCAAAATCGATTATAATTCAATAATTAGGATCGATAAAAAGATTATTTATAACCAAAAAATGTTCTTAATTATCTTATTAAACATTATGAATAAAAATTTTAAAACCCCATTAATTTTAGCAACTCAAAAATAAAAAATCTTAAAACCTCCACAATCTCAAAATTAACATTTTGAGCAATAAAATATGATTTCTCAAAATTTTTATTATATTTCCATATATTATCATTACCTTATCATAAAACCGATAATTTCAGCTTCAATTTAAGATATAAATCATCGCTTAACCCTCAGAAATAAAATCAATGCGATTTTTTTTAAATTAGGTTAAATTTTTTTAGTTCAACAAGATGTGAAGAATTTCACTTCGACTGAGTGTATGGGTAAAAATGATGGGAAATCACTAATTAATTAACATAATTACTTAACTTTTAATCATAATTACGATCAAATTTGGTTGTGTAATTTAAATCTTATCCTAAATTAATTTCTTTTTTATATAAGTATTTCTTAAAGTTTTTATGATCTTGATACTGTGATTAATCACGACTGAGACAAGAAAATTATTGCAAACTGGTTTTAAGATAGCTAACCTACATATTTTCAGTTCTTAACATTGGCTCCAAAACTACTTTCGTTTTTATGACCGGGTTCGAGCCATAACACCCAAAAAAAGAACCGGAATTAAGAACCAGGTAATTTATTGGATTTTCAAAAATTTCACTTTAAAATATTTTTGAATACAAAAAAAAATTGACTTACGTTTTAAGAAGATTCAGTTTTGTTTAACTATTTTAATCCTAAATCCTCAGTGATGATTGATGAAAAATAAATAATTCGAAATGATTCACTACAACTAAAAATTTAAATATTTTAACACAAAATTTGATTTGATACGAAAAATGGTACCTGTAAGGTACCCAAAGAAGTAGTCTGCACAACGTGTGTGGAGTACCGCTTGGTTTTGTGCGGCAACCTGATAAAATTGTGTGTATTTCAGGAGATATACAAGAGCACTTTCCCCAAAGCCCCACCTTCTTTTATGACCTCGTAGGACGTATGTAAAGACAGCAGGACCAACAGCAGGATACTGTACGAGATCGAGTACGACCTTAACACTGCGAAATCTAAAAAGAACATGTTTTTTAATACAGTTTCTAGAGTTAATTCGAGATATTATCTGAGAAACGAAGTTTTTTCTTGCGAAATGAAACTGATTGATGTATTATCGATTTTGAAAGTTGTCCCTCCATGTGTACGAGTTTTTCTTGCGACAACTTTTCGTTAAATAAATCTTTAACTTTTTTAAATCGAAAATCCACCTTTATGTGGAATAATACAATTTAAATTTATTCCGTTTAATATTCTAAATAGATATTACTTTATGTATATGTATGTATTTATTTTTAAAAGATTTCTTATTACACCTATAGATCATAAATAACAAGGATATTAAAAATGTAAGTTACAAAATAGATTTTTTTTTTTGATTTTAAAGAAAAATAAATAAATAGATCTTGGGAAAATATCAAGGTTCTAACCGTAATTGTTTAATAAATTCTCTTAGAGGTAAATGAGATACATAAATTGATGTGTTGGTGCATTGTTTTTGCACTCTACTTTCATTTATGCGAGTTCATTTTCATACTTTGTATTCAAGAGACATATTTCGTTTTGCGTAACCTTTGTGTTACAACAAAGTTTCATTTGTGACTTAAATTGTTTCTTAATTCTTATAAAAAAGACTTTAATACAATATCACTAAACAGTACCACAATATCGTGTAAAGACCAAGATATTGTCGTGATACTGTAGGATGTCTTTTAGGTTATCTTTAAAACATGTTTTCTCAAAAACTAAACATGATAAGCAAAAATTGTTTGATGCATTAAATTCCTTAATCATTTCTAAGCAAATCCACCAAATTTTGGTTCTTAATGTCCATACATGACTTGGAAAAGAAGTTTTGAATGTCAATTTTACCAAAAACGTTTTTTTAGGGTATCTTTAAAACATGTTTTCTCAAAAACTAAACATGATAAGCAAAAATGGTTTGATGCATTAAATTCCTTAATCATTTCTAAGCAAATCCACCAAATATCGTTTCTTAATAACCATACATGACTTAGAAAAGAAGTTTTGAATGTCAATCTTACCAAAAACGTTTTTTTATGTTATCTTTAAAACATGTTTTCTCAAAAACTAAACATGATAAGCAAAAATTGTTTGATGCACTAAATTTCTTAATCTTTTCTAAGCAAATCCACCAAATTTCGGTTCTTAATGTCTATACATGACTTAAAAAAGAAGTTTTAAATGTCAATCGTACCAAAAACGTTTTTTAGGTTATCTTTAAAACATGTTTTCTCAAAAACTAAACATGATAAACAAAAAGGGGTTGATGCATTAAATTCCTTAATCATTTCTAAGCAAATCCACCAAATATCGCTTCTTAATGTCCATACATGACTAGAAAAGAAGTTTTAAATGTCAATTTTACCAAAAACGTTTTTTTAGGTTATTTTTAAAACGTGTTTTCTCCAAAACTAAACATGATAAGCAAAAATGGTTTGATGCATTAAATTTCTTAATCATTTCTAAGCAAATCCACCAAATTTCGGTTCTTAATTTAAATATATGATTTAGAAAATAAGTTTTGAAATCAACCTTAAGAAAAATAGAATGCCTGTTTTATGTTCTTATAGGTTATCTTTAAAATCTTTCTATACTGTCTATCAAAGAAGCTGATAAAAAAGATTGAGACTTTAGATAGATATTCAGCATATTTATATTTTGGGCATATTATCAGAAGAGATGAAGACAGCTGAAAATATTAATAATCCATGGAAAAGTAGAAGGCAGAAGACCAAACTTGACACTTCACTTCAAGGTGCCCTTCAAGAAGCACAAGACTGCCAGTTATAGAGGAATAAATTGGAGGATTTTTTGAAATTAATTACTTAATCACAAGCAGTTAAATGAAACCGGATGTAGCATTTCTAACTTTCAGTTGGCTTTATAAATTTTTCAAAGAAAGATTAATTCCGTAAGCTGATATAAGAAGCGGTATGTAATATCACCTCGTGAAATTCTTTAATTTCAAAACCATACCGACTACAATTGCACTTTCTTTGCTCAGTCATCGAGCACGATTGTAAAAGGGACCTTGATATCAAATCTAGAGATTTGATACTAACGCATTAAATTAACACAAATTAATTTAAAATTTTTCGTCAAATTCGACCTCGAACTACATAAAAAATAAATGTTTAATAAATAAGCTTTTGTTTATATATAGAGACAAAATTGATGTCGTAACTCTTTTAACACTAAAAAAGGAGGAACTGAAATTGCACAAATTTAGAGAGAAAGGTAAAGCTGAGTACTGCTTTGGAATTGCAAAGCCATAGTCGCGCAGTACATGATCGTAAATATATTCTTAGCGGGAAATAAACAACGCTTAAAGAATTCGAAATTGAAAATCAATCGAAATTTAAAAAGTTGCATCGTAACCGTAAAAGAGGAAGTAAAAGCGCAAAACCTGATAAATTCGATGCTGCGCATTGACTATAAATAAAGTTCTTGTCCGGTGAACGGGAAATTAGGGCGGAAAAATGTTCGAAGAAGAAAAGTAAAAGTTTGTAACCGAGAACCGTCAACAAAAAGAACGAGTATTCTACGAAATGAACAAAGGATTTCGTGTTTTCGAAGATAATTTTCATTTTTTTAAATGCGATTACAAAATTTTAAATTTCGACTTACATAATGATATTAAATTACAAAGAGTTTTCTTTGTTGTTAAACCCATTATTTTTTCTTTGTTTGTAAAAAATTATGTCGATTAAGTAGAAAATAGTCAAAATTAATAATTCATGTCAAATAAAAGTAAGCGTTAATCGCGTGTCATAAACTAAACCGCAAATTATTTCACAGATTATTTTTAAATCGAACCCCATGATTATTCATTAATCGAAAATACATTTTACAAGAATAACTTAGAAGGTGGTTTCGATCTTTGGCCTTTCTGATCGATATAAATAAATAAAACTTACCAAAATTAGAATACCTACTAGAAACATTCAACCTTTCTCTTATTAAAAATAAAAGCTTATCATGAAAACATTAAAAAAAAACATGTTCATACATGAAGTAATTATGTAAAGGCGTGTAATTATGGAAAAATAAAAAAAAATTAACGGTGTATACAAATAATCTTAATAAACATATCATTATAGAGTGATGATGATAATTTAGTAAGTTTTTTATAAATAAACAGGTGCAGATTGTATAAGAAATTCGTTCCACTTACTGAGATATATACGATCTTATTCTGAGATATGTGGAAAAAATTTACAAGTTGGGTGTTGGTCAACTTGGTTGAAAAATTCCGTTGTCCGATAATTATCAAAGTACTATTATGGAAAAACGACTGAATTTCACTTTTATTTAACTGCACATTTTTGTATAAAATACTTCAAAGAATTCAAAATTATACCCAAGATTTAAATTTAATTAGTTCACTTGACTAAAATGATAAACAATGTTGAGCAAAACGAGATTTTCATTTTCTTCTCTCTAAAAATATAAGACTTCTCAGAATAGACAGGCTCAAACTATTAAAAATTGTTTTTTTAATAAAGAATACATCATAAAAGAACACCATGAAGTTGTCCATTTATGTATTATATGATAACTTCAAGTTTCAAGCTTGAAGTTTAAAATGTAATAATTAATGGAGATACTATCACTTCCGGTTTGAAACATCAACGTCAATTTTGACATATTTGTAATCTTCATTAAATCCTTTAAAAAGAGTACAAACACGACATATTTATCTTCAATATTAATGAAGTTATGGTCAACTTCCGGTTAAGAATGTCAATGTCAATTTTGACATATTCTTAATTTTTATAAAATGTCTTAATATTTGTCACAAAAACAAAATTATAATAAAAAAAAATTAAAGATTAAATTGCTATTTTCATTGTTGCTAACGTCGGGTTTAATGTTTTTTATTCTAACTTTTTTGTTTTTTGAGATAAGTGTGTCTTGTTTGGACTCATTTTAACGGTTTTTTAATGAAGATGACAAATATGCCAAAATTGACGTTGACGTTTCAAACCGGAAGTGATTGTATCTCCATTAATATTAAAGTTAAATATGTCGAGTTTGGACTCGTTTTAAAGGATTTTTTATGAAGTTGACAAATATGTCGAAATTAAAAGTTGAAAGTTCGAACTTTTTGGTTTTTGAGATAAATGCGTCATGTTTGGACTCACTTTAAAGGTTATTTTATGAAGATTACGAATATAATAATAAAATTAAAGTTGACATTGACATTGAAGTTTTTTTTCACGAATAAATCCGAATGTTTCTAGTTCTCGTTCTAGTTTTAGTTCAATAAATATCGTAAACAACCAGCGAACTGCTGTAGAATGGAGGAATACTCCAATTTTATTCCTTAAGCTATTCCCTAGTCCTTGCCTATAAAAAGGCCTGTCCCCTCCGTAAGGAGGCAGTATGTGGGTGCGCTACCACCTGGTGCTACCCCGAACTTGCCATACTTAAACGAGAGGCGCGGACTGCCTTCAACAGAGCAAAAGACTCTAGGATCGATTCTGACTGGCAGATCTATAAGAGTAAATTGTCAGCTTTTAAGAAAACAATTTATCAAAAGAAATGAGCAGCATGGAGGGACTTCTGTGAGGAAATTACTTCCTCTACCGAAGTCTCCCGCCTGAAGAAGGTGCTGGCTGCGAACCCTGAACGACGAATTGTGTTAATGAAGAAGAATACAGCTTCTAATGTCTGTTCATTTCTCAGGTTCCGACAACACCAACGCTGTCCAACCAGAGATAAACTACGTTGGTACGTAGCGGATGATTGGGGTTTGACCAAAATCATCTGTGAGGAGAAAAAAATACGGTGGGCTGTGAACACGTTCTCACCGTTCAAAACTCCAGAACTCCAAAAATGTTTTCACATTCTGACATCTTGATCCTTGCATATAACATCTTTTCCGATCACTTAGCATACCCTGTCCTCCATCTAACAAAATTGTCGTTCCATCAGTCAGCTTTGCCATGATGTTTTCATATTCTGACATCTTGTTCTCTTTCCTCTTTTGCTTTGCTGATATTCGGTACGTTTTTTTACTGGGCTACTCAATCCACCCAGCGCTCATCAAAAGTGGAGTTCTTTCCCAACATTTTAATTATTTAATTAATTCGATGATTAAACCAAAACTAGAACAAATTCTTCCGGGGCATTAACATTTAATTCTCTTTATTTTATGAGCGGAAATTAAGAAACAAACATTAATTAATTCACCAGGGTTATTTATTAAAAGGTTATTTTCGTTAAAAAACCCAAATTACTAATCTATTTTAACTAGTAATTTGATCTTTAATCATATAGCATCCAACATTTAAAATTTTTATACGAGAAGTGAACGTAAAATAATACTGAGTTGTGGAGGAGACAAGGACATGGCGTGGTAGATAATCCTTACAGGTTCAAAGTAATTTCACGCATCTATTGCGGAAAAATCCATTACCTCACTAAGGATTAAAAACATCTTATACATAAAAAAAACAATACTTTTCCTCTACACACTTCATCTTGGATGTCACCCAATTAAAAAAATGTATAAAAAAACGAAAGATTTAGAATTTAGACCTTGTCCCCACGGATAAATCGTCTCATTGTTAATTAGTTGCATTTTTTTATCGGGGACTGTTATCTAATGTAAATAAAAAAACGTTAATTTTGTGCAAATTACGCAGCAACAGCGATCGGATCTTTCTCTCGGTGGGAAATCGTCGCTGAACCAATTTCTATAATACTTTGACGCAACTCATTTCCCCACTTTTATGGTGATTTTGTGTCTTAGTCTAATGATCTATAATCCCATTGTCTTGTTTTACACTCATGCATACATATTGCAAGGTGACGACACAAATCAAGATATAATTTAAATAATAAAAAAAAAGACATAATTTTTATTTGTTTTTATTCATATACTCTTTATTTTTATTTCGATTTATTAAAACATAATTTTTTTAATTATCGCATGTTTTAACTAATGGATGAACAACAATTGAAGATCCTAAACATCCAACGGTGTTCGAAACAAAGTCGTGGAAATTCGACTCGATGGTCCACATTAATCTCTTGTATCCAGGAACCACTTGGGTCGATAACCTACATTCGTTACCTTTCTGGACAAGGAGGAAGTTATCGGATTTGAAACAACTCTCGGTGTTCCAAATGTAAATGTCAGATTCGCCTTTGTTTCTGAAAAAGATTGCAGCGCCGTTATCGGTTCCCAAGAAAACGATTTGATTGCCTTCGGGTTTAATTCCAGCTTCAACGATGGCCCCAGCGGCTTGCCCAGATTGGAGATTTTCGCTTTTAACGGAGAAGATTTTGTTTGAGGCTAAGTAGGTGAAGAATAAAACGTTTCCGCAAGATTTATGGATCAAGTTTAAGTATAAAACATCTTTTCCTGAGTGGCACACAGCTTTCGGGAGGACAACTCTGTAACCTTTCTCTTCGAAAATGTTATAAACGATGATTGTACCAGCCCCGGCATCGGAAATGTAAGCGTAAGCTTTTCCATCAACGGCGTAATCAATCACGATGTATTGAAGGCGAGTTTCGGACGAAGTTAAAGTGGTCAAATCGAAAAGTTTTATCACTTGACCGGTTTTCATATCGATTCCAAGTACTTTTGGGGGACATCTCCTTACGGGTTGTTCCAAAGTATTAACGATTCCAGCGTCTAAGATCCAAAGAATTTCATTTTGATCCAAGTAGATATCAACAGCGGATTGGATCGCTTCGCAATTTCCTTCTTCTTGCATCGACCAACAAGGGAATGGCGATAAAGTCGCTTGGCACCCTCTCGTTTTCAAAGAGAATTTACCCAAAGTGAAGGGAACTCCGTGTTTGTATCTTGGCAAAGCGACGATGGCCTCATCTTTATAAATTTGCATTCGAGTGCCGATTATGTTCTTAGAGATGTATCTCCCAGAGCTGAAATAAATGTTTTTGGTGCTTTCGCACGGAAACTCCAAATGCGATCCGGATATTTTAAAGCTAAGATCCGTAACTGAACTCCTATCGTAATGCGCCCAAGATTGCGCGATTACAATCGATGCTAAAAATAGTAACTTGAACATAGTTCAATCTAAAATTAACGAAAAAAATTATTAGAAGATTTTTTTTAATAGAATTAATAGTTAATTACCTTTCTTAGATGTGACGAAGACGTTATGGATTACTTTACTAAATGCTGCTTCAGTTTATATAGGGTATTTCGTAAATTGTTTTTGATAGACACAATAATTTGCAAACAGATTGTTTTATTTTTTTTTTTTTCGTTAAAACGACCATGAACTAACAAAACGTACGAATACACATTTTTTTTGTTTCTTTTACCTGTGTGTTACTTTGGGCTACTTAAGAATGCTAAATTAACAAAAATAATATTTGTTTAATAAAATAATTATTTAAAACAACACGCACGCCAAGTGGATTTAATTAAATTTAATAGCTAAAATTTGTTTTCGCTTGAATAAATAACCAAAACGAACAATTTTGTACGATCGTTAAGATATAACGCAATCTCGTTATAAAGAGTAGAATGTAAGGAAGAAATTAAAGTTTCGCCAATCCTAAAATTACTAAAATTACATGTAGAAATCTAAGTGGTGGTTATAAACGACAAAAATAAAGTTTATTCCAAAAATTCTTGCTTGTATCTCAAAAACAAATTGAGATATTACCACGAAACTTTAATAATTTTAAAGATTCATCACATCAAAACTAATTATGTTATAAATCGCGATGATATTATTTATATACTTCAACATTGGTTTAATTGCCTAGGTTAGATTTAAAAAATCATATCTCAAGAACGAATTGAGATACCAAGATGAAATAAACACCATTTTATGGCAAATTTAATCTGGTGTCACTATGCCAAAAATAGTTCTTTCGTTTCTATATATCCTGGAGATATAATTTATTAACTTCTACATTGTAATATTAATGCGCTTGGGTTGTAAAAAGTACCATTTAAAAAAATCGTATCTCAAGAACGAATTGAGATATCAATATGAAATAAAAACCATTTTATAGCAAATTTAATGTAATACCAACACACCAAAAATAATTTTTTCATTAGTATATATCGCGACGATACAATTCATTTACTTTAACATTGTAATGTTAATGCGGTATTAAGCCCAAAAAGAAAACTGGAGGCTGAACAACGTAAGTTAGATAAAATAATGTCATTGAAGGTGATCTTAATGATAGAAATTAAAGATGTAAGAAAGGAGCAATTAATTAAATAAGAAAATCAAAGAATTAACGAAAATATGTTGAGATAAGGAAAGAGAGGTTGATACAAAGAATGGTGGAAGAGGAGAAATTGAAAGCATTACCCACAAAATTCAAAAACTGAGAAAAAAACGACGGAAAAGGACTTGGAATGTAAATTGGCTATAAGTCTAAAATAGGTATACTTGCCCTGACTAGAACTAAAAAGAAAGAATATGGACGTGCAAGCTTTGGAGATGGAATCACTGGAATCAATTTACAGGCTTGAGTGAGCTGCTATATCAGAAAGATTGTTGATGGTTAAGGATTTTTGGGAAAGATGTGGGAAAAGGGAAATTAATGTTTGAGAGCTTGATAAAAAGCGTAATGATGTATGGGATGGAAATATGGGGATGGAGCAAGGGCTCTTAGAAGATGTGCAGACCAGGTACTGGAAGTGAGTGTTGGGGGTTGGCATGAAGGTGGATAAGGTGAGGGTTTTGAGGAAGGTATTATAAAATCTTGGAGGAGTACTACAGACAGATTGAGGCAAATAAGGGGAGGTTATGGGCAGCGAGAAAGGGAGGAATACAGGCTGGGAGTCTTTACACCATGTGCTGGTGGAGCCCAATGAGTTGAGGGAAGAGGAGATGGATTGGAGGCAGGTGCTGGGGGAGAAGGCGAAGGGATGGAGATGGCTGGGGGAGGTGGTGGCAACGAAGAGACGTAGGGTGACAAGGAGAGACTTGTTAAAGGGATAAAAAATTATATAAGTTCTATGTATTGTATGTACTTAATATAAATTGTAACCTTCTGGGAAAGAATAAATTATTATTATTAATACGTTTTTAAAAATCGTTGATTTAATTAACCTTTATTAAAAAATATAAAATGCAAGAAAATAAAATATAACTACAAATTTTGCAACCAGATCGATTTGAAATAATAAATTTCTAAATCAACCATTTCAAAAATGCCCATTATGATCTATTGTTTCACAAAGTTTAACTTTGTACTTCAAATAAAATCGAAAGGTGAGCACTTTTAATTTCGAAACTGATACAATTTTTGTTGATATTAAAAATTAATAAAAAAATGGGACAAAAGAAACCGTTCATTGTTTAATATTTAAATATTAAAAAAAATGGGTTAAAATGTGGGCGGGAACGTAGAAAGTAACTCCGCGATTATTTTACAAGGATACGTATCTGTTGTTAAAAAATCATTTTCCATTAAATACCACAACATTCATTTAACTTATTTATCTAATTTCAAGAATTTTCCTTTTTATCTTCTTTTTTAAGTAAAGTTTCGTAACATGATCAGTCTACGTAAGGTGTACTCAATAATTTTGTTTTGATTACTCTAGTTGTTTATTAAAAAAAGAAAAAAACCAAAATAACAATTTAAGCATATTTTTTAAACATTTCAAATTTATTCACATTCGACCTTGATGTAATCAAAATAAAATTATGTATAAAACATCGAGTGAAGAGTTATTGAAGTGTCAATTTGGCAAAAGAAATTCAACAGGTAAGAAATAATTTTTTAAATTACCATTTTTTTCAATTTAATTTAATCCAAATTTAAAAATTTCAGAATGTTGCCAAAACTCATCTTATTAATCACCTTTGGTATCATCGCTTGTAACGCGTACAGCGATAAAGAGGTTTCTTACAGACCTTTAGAATGGACTGGGGGTCTTTTCCAATGGCCGTGCGAAGCGACCAAAGCTATTTATAAGAAATCGGGGAGATACATTGGCAAAAATGTGATTGCAACTCGTGGTCAAATCTATAAAGATGAAGCTATCCTTGCTTTACCAAGATACAAACCGGGGGTTCCTGTAACTTTGGCGAAAGTTTCGTTGAATCAACAAGGATGCGAATCTGTTCTTACCCCATTCCCTTGTTGGTCCGCTCAAGATGAGAACAGCCAAGATGGTCTTATTTCTGTTGTAGATTTGTTCATTGATGCCCAAGAAATCTTATGGATTTTGGATGTTGGTGTTGCTAACAGTTTAGAACAACCAATTAGACACTCAAAACCAAAAGTAGTCGCTTATGACATGAAAACAGGAAAAATGTTGAAAACTTTGGATTTATCTGGTTTGGTTGTCCAAGCATCTCGCCTTCAATACATTGCTGTTGAATACTGCGGCGAAGGAAAACCTTACGTTTACGTGAGTGATGCCGCTACAAGATCCATTTTAGTTTTCGACATTGTTTTAAACAAAGGATACAGAGTTGCTCTTCCCAAAGCAATCCTAACAGGAACATCAAGAAGAGACGTCTTATACATGGCTTTAGTTCAAAAAGGATGCGGAAACAATTTCCTCATTTTCACCTATTTATCTTCAACGAGAGTATTTTCTTTAAGAACCGATTACTTAAGAGCTGGATCAGCGGCAGGAAAAGTGACTGATTTAGGACCAAAACCGCATAAATTAGTTATTGTTGGTACCGATTTGGGATCGGCCATCTTTTTCAGATACGAGGGAAGACCAGAAATTTATAGGTGGGATGTTAATACCACTTTTAGCACTGAAAATTTCGTGGTTGTTTATAAATCGCAAAGTTGTATGTTGGCTACTTCCGCTTTTGCCGACATCAAGCGACAAAGAATTAGAGTTTTGGAAAGCAACTTCCCAGATTTTATTCAAAATACTGTTGGTTGTGGTGCTGTTCAACAAGTTAATATTATTGGTCAATAATTTACTTCATTTGAGTTATTTGGAAATAAATGAAATAATAAATAAATAATTCCAAATAAAAATTTGTTTTTTTTGTATTTTGTGATTTAAATGATATTAAACCTTTTTGTTTTCTAATACCATAGGTTCTTGAGGTGTCTGATAGTCGTTTTACAACACTATTCAAGATTAATCCAGTTGTATATCACACATCCTTAACCCATAGAAGTGCATTAAGAGAGGTGATCTGAAACTGGAAAGAACTTGGTGTTATTTTAGATTTTAAGCTACGATATCGCGATATATCAATAACAGATATAAATTATAAATAAATATTTCCACATGTAAATCGAAATGTATAGTTTTTAAATATTTAATATTCTAGTATTTGTAATAAGTAATTTTTTAACATGGTTAAATTTATTTATAAATTGAAAGTGAAATTGCGGAATCGGATACACGGTCTTATTCAGCATTTCTAAAAGAAGTAATCAACAAAAAAAACAGTTCATTCAGTCTTTTAAGCATTTTTAAAACGAGAAGATGTCGTTGAACTTTTTTTTGTTCCTTTTAAACTTTATTTTATTATTACGCGAAAATTCCACGTGGGATTTAAGCAACTTAAAAATATCACCGACGTATTTCGTTTCGAGCATATCAGTGTACAAAAATCGAGCGTTTTTAGCTTTACCAAGAAGTTCTTGTTTTAATAACATATCAAATCCCACTTTAATCGAAGTTCCATGGCCGAATGATAACAAATACGGACTTTTCCGAAAAAAGATTTATCCTAGTTATAAACAACAGAATTTTGGGGATTGTAAAGATCATCAAGATGTGATATCTTTGGACGTTGATCAGAAAAAAGCTAAATTATGGGTTTTGGATAAAGGAAATAAAAAATGTTCCCCTAAAATTGTTATTTATAATTTATATTATAACACGATTGGCCAAAGCAGTAGATTATGGGATGTAAAAGGAGAACAATTAAATTATATTTTAGTGGATTCGTTTAATGGGAGAGCTTTTATTGGAGGAGTTGATGATGTTATTTTAGTTTTTTCTTCGAAAACTTTGAGGTTAACTAAAATCAAATTGAAATCCTTAAATGTAATAATATCCACACAATATTTAGCTTTCTCCTCAATCAAACCAATCATTTATTTGACTTCAAGAAAAAGTGTTGATTTATATTCGTTAGATCTCAACAATATAAATAATTGCGATTCGGTAATTATTATTATAATATTAATGCTTGTTTTTAAATATTATTTTTTAAGGATGACTGTGAAATTGAAGTAAATAAAATTGGTGAAAAACTGGGCCCATCAACCGGAATGATTTCTGATTCTTATGGGAGATTATATTATTACTTAACAAGAGATTATGCCGTGGTGAAGTGGATGGAAAATCTTCCTATTGTTGCTGAAAATCATGAAGTTGTTAAACAATCCTATAAGGAACTCCCGTACGTTTCCCATTTTATTTTGGAATCTGGGGATGTTTTCGCTGTTGTTAATCCCGCTAAGAATGAAATTTGTTATAAAACTAATCGAATTTATAAAGATTTGCCTAAAATACAAGCGAGAGTTGTTAAAATCTAATAAAAATGTTTTCCTAAAAAGTAATAAAGTTAAAATGATACTTATTAAAATCCCTCAATATCTACACATCTTATGGATAAGGTGTTCTTTCATACTTTTACAAAATTTAGTTTACGATGTGATATGACTAGAATTTTGCTTATTTATTTGTAATGAAAAGAGTTTGTGGTGGAGTTGCTTAGGAGGTAGAATAGGTCAAATTGAAGACAAACAAGGTGTTGTGGAAAGACTTCCCGAATGGGAAACTAACAAAGCAGGTGCAAAATGGAGCAAGATAAGATAATACTGGAATCTCTCTTATCTTTGAAGCAAAAATGGGGATCTGGCGATTTGGGGAATGAAGAAAAACTGTTGATCTTGGGTGGAATATAAATTGGTGGTGGAGAAGAACATTGAGAGTATCAAGCGAGAGATTGGAGTATTTTGAAGAAATTGGTACCAGATAATGATGAAAGAGATGTTATGACAGTTAATCACGAAAAAAATAGAAACTTGTATCTCAATAACTAATTGTAACTTTACTTTTATTTTATACAGACTACATTGAAGTACTGCCAACAATACTCGATTGAGTTTCATATCCATCCATTACCTCAGTTTTCGAAGATACGTTAAAATAATTATCTCTTAACGCGTTTTCTTGATGAACAACGTTCCTTAAAACTGGACTCGACAATAAACAATTATGATGACATATCAATTTGTGAGCTTGATACTTAGTTTCTGTAGATGGGTTAAAAAATTTTCTATAAATGCGGTCTTCGAGATCCGGCGGTCCCCATTTTCTGTGCGCTTGAAAGGTTCCCAATAAATTCTTCCTTTTTATACTGACGAATAATTCCGAGACAAAAAAAAAGGCAAACGGCGTTACCAACATCATCAACATACATACGTTTATAAAGATATAATTTTGATGCATTGTGGCGTGAAGCGAGAAATAAGCGATTATAGTTAGGACTAAAATGGAGGGTACTAAATACCAGGTTATTTTCCAAAATTTCGTTGGTTGTGTTCCCATTAGGAATTGTATATCATCGGATAATGTGCTTACGCCGTACACCCAGTAAATAGTAACGGTCCAAATAAGGTTACAAATCACGACGAGATTGTCCATCGCATTTTCTATGGCATATTTTGCAGCTACATATATTGTTTTTGATTGGAGAAGTATTCCGGCGACACAACCAAATAAACAACAACCCGCTAAAAGATATGTTCTATATTTTGCAAAGTTGGGGTACATATCCGTGATGGTCATTTGTATGCTGAATAAATGAAGCATTTGATTTGAGACAATTAAACAAATGCACGATATAAAAAATAACGAGGACCATAATTGAGGGACGGTTAGAGTACTTATAGCTTGGGGGATGATGATGAGGATATGCGCAACTCCCGCACTGAGTTCGTGAGGATGTTTCACAGATATACCAGAAGGATATTGTTTATTTATTATGCTATAACAAATATACGATAGCGAAGAAGCCATTAAATTTAACACCGATATTGCACACACACAACAAAAGGATAAAGTACCAGATAAAGCCCCTTTAGGTAAATGAGCTCCAGAATACATATTATATAAATCAGCCAAACAAAAATTAACGAGAACAGTTCGTATGGCAAGAAGCCAAGGTTCTAATTGAAATAATTCCGATGTTTGAGAAAAAATTAAAGTGTAAGGTGAGACGCCGCTTTCCGCTTTGAAAGCTAAAGCTACCATTAAAATGGATAAAATTGAAAAATGTATGTAAAACAACGTTTTCGTCAATTTAAGATGATTCCAATAAGCCGCAACTGCCACTATAAACATGAAAACCCATTGAATTGAAAAGCAAGTTACCATGATAAATGATGGCATAGAATACGAAATCTTTTGCATATCCAAAGTTGGATTTCCCGAGTAAATGTATCTCCAAAATACGTAGGCAGTATGTGGATACCCAGCTGAAGAATTATTTCCACTACAAACATCTTCGTATCCTTTAGGACATCTTGACCACGGCAAATTTCGTTGGAAAGACATTAAAAGATATAAAATCGTGTCGGTTAGCGCGCATCCGAATCGAATTGTTTTCATTAAAACGCACACCAAAAACGTATACATTATTCCTCTAGCCATCGGCATTATATGACGAAAATTTAACATCCCCATTTGACAGTATTGCCCAAGAAATATATGAGTATAAAATATGGGCAGTCCGACAAATATCCCCACCAGCATGTATTGTATTACTCCGGGATTACTTTCGACACCGTACGTGTTGTAACCGGTATAAGTAACGGTGTAGCATATCGTTCCCATTATAAAATCCCAAGAACGAGTCCATCGAAATCTTGCATATGTACCTTTATGCTTTTCAAGAAGCACACCCAAGTTCGAATGCGAAATTGAAAATTCTGTAGATGACATCACTTTTTAAACGTTTTTTTGAAACGATTAGAATCAAAATTATTTGACGTTGTCAGAATTGTGTTATGAGTATGACACTCCTGTTGAATTTAGTTTATCAAGATAGTTGATGTCAATAATATAATGTTAGTTACAGTTGTTATATACAATATTATAAAACAAATATTTCAATAAATTAACATAACATGAAAAGGTTCTTGCTCTCTGAGCATAAATAATTACAACAACTCCAACCCAGACAACAGCGAAGAAGATAAATGATTAAATGACATTTTGATGAAACACTTACTTCCATCCAGAAAAGGAATAATGTCTTAGACATTTTATATAATATCCAAAATATATAATATAGATAAGCTTGTTTGCATAACCCAAGTTTCCGATCAATTAGAAACTATTCTAAGAATCTATTAAAACTTACATACAATAGGTCAAAATGATCTAAAGTTGAAAAAAATGTTTTGTACTTACCAAATTATTACTTCAAGGATGTTTGTCATCTACAACGAATGAAGGAAGTTGAAGTCAAGCTGCTTTATCCCTTGAAGTTGATGTATTTTTCTGCAAATAGAATAAAACTATAAGTAATCAACACGAAAGTATAGATATTAAAATAATAGGTATTAATGGGTAACATTGGGAAATATTGATAATAAAAAATGATAAGTCAAAAATTATTAATTTAAAATATTAATTAAAAAATAATTCTAATCGTTAATTAACTCATTATTGATTAAATTCTTTTAATCTCACACAAAAACGTTTTTAATTAACATAATCAAAATGAAGAATTACACATTTTTTCATGTTTATCTCAATTGCGTAACCTTGCATTGGTTAAAAAAACAAGAACAAATACCGATTGCAATAAAAATTAATGAAAATAAAATATTTGTTCTAAATATTTAAATTTAATATGATTTAATATATTTTTTTAAATTATTATTAATGGAAAAATTTAATAAACTGTATTGTAAGATTACTAACAAATAAGTTTGTCGTAGGAAATTTTGCATTTAACCCGATAAAAAGTGTTTATTTTTATATCGGTGCCTTAGCAATAAGATAACAATGATGCGAGTTGCAGAAGACATCCTAATGAGGTGTGATAATGAAAGAAATTTCTCGCCTCACCCACCACCACGCCTTAGGTTATCCGAATTTTTTTAGCAAAACATGATACCGTTTTACTATAAAAACTTGAGTGTGTTTTAATGGGGATCAGACTTAAAGTGAAGTATAGAGATGAAGTCTCTAGTTTTCTTGGGGCTTTTGGCCCTTGCATGGGCAACCACTCTCAAAAAACCCGTCTACAATACACAAGAACCGGTGTACCCAACTGGTAAGTTTAACTTTTATTACTTTTTAATAACGTTTTAATTTAATTTTGAATGCAGAAGAGTTCTTGCAACAGCAGAAGATTGTTTATCAATTATTCCAATATGTGTACCAACCCAACTATTTGCCTGAATACGAAAAGATTGGTTTAACTTACAACCTCGAGGAGAATTTGCAAGGATACAGCGTAAATTATAATTTTAAATTTTATTTAATAAATTTGATTTGATTCATTTCTTTTAGAACCCGAAATATGTACTTGATTTCTTGAGTAACTACCAGGTTGGTAGTTTACCGAAAGGACAAGTATTTTCCATCTTCTACGACAAGCACCAAAATGAAGCGATCGCTTTCTTCAGGGTTTTATACAGCGCTGTTGATTTCGAAACTTTCTACAAAACCGCCGTTTGGGGAAGGATGCACTTGAATGAGGGTCTTTACATCTACTCTCTTTCGGTTGCTTTGGTCCACAGACCCGATACCTGGAATCTCGAGTTACCACCGATCTACGAAATCTACCCATTCTATTTCTACAACTTCAACGTGTTCAGATTAGCCGAACAAAAGACTGGATATTATTTTGGAAACTACCCAACAACTTCTAAATACCAATACTACTTTGGAAAGTATTTGCAAAACCAACAATACCCATATGGGCAATTGTATGAAAGATTCGGTCAACAACCATGGTTCCAAATGAGCAAAACCACCCCGTTCACTCAACAATATTTACAGAAATACGGACAATACCCGTGGTTCTCCAAATACGAGCAATCCAATCCAGTTTATGGAAGATATATGGAATCGATTGAAACTCCCCAGCCATGGTCGTTCAAATACGAACAATCTTACCCATACCAATATGCCAAAAAACAATTCCCAACTCAATACGTTCCATACAACCAATACCAACAAAGTTACCCATACGTACCACAACCCGAACAATACTATCAACAATACAGCAAACAATATGGAAAATCATACCCATGGAATCAAGTACCAACTCAATACACTCCATACAGCCAACAATACTACCAAAAATACAACCAATATCCAACTCCATACGGACCACAAATTGAGCAATACCAAAAATTGAGCAAACTCCCATGGTTCTCCTTCGAAAAATACGGAAAGTCATACCCATGGAATCAGGTTCCATCTCAATACATCCCATACAGTCAACAATACTACCAAAAATACAACCAATATCCATCTTATCAATACCCATACGAACCACAAAGCGAACAATATTACCAACAATCCACCAAGCTCCCATGGTTGTTATCCGAGAAATATGAAAAATCTTACCCAATGAACCAAGTACCAACCCAATACACTCCATACAATCAACAATATTTCCAAAGATACAACCAATTCCCATCTCAATATATGCCTCAATCTAAATATATGCCCGAACCTGAATACAGGCCATATTCTCCCGAATACATCTCAACCTACGAGAAATACCCATATTTCCAACAAAGATACCCATACATGGAACAAAAATCGACTCCATTCCCCCCATCTTACTACCAAAAATACGTAGAAGAACCGATGCCCGAATCTTTCAGGCCATATTCTCAACAATATTACCAAAAATACCAACAATACCCATATTTCCAAATGAACAAGCAATTCACCAAACCGATGCCGTTCGTGAACAGCCCACTCTACCAAAAATCAATCTTCAAATACACCCCATCTCAATCTGAGATATTCCAAAAAATCCAGTATTCTCAAGTACCACAAGAAGTTCCGGAATTCTACCAGGAGAGAGAAAAGATACCACTTGAATACTATCAACAAGGTTTAATCCTACTTATTAATTCATAATTTTATAAACATTTTATTCAATTTTTAGGAATTTTAATCACAGCTAATTTCACCAACTTCAACGCCCAATTCAACCCGGAATACCAATTATCTTATTTCACCCAAGATATTGGAATGAACGCTTTCTACTATTACTACCACATTTATTTCCCATTCTGGATGAAGAACGAAGAAATCGCCTTTAATACTCAAAGACGTGGTGAACAATTCTATTACATTTACCAACAACTCTTGGCTAGATACAACCTCGAACGTATTTCTAACGGACTCGGTGAAATCCCACTTTTGCAATATGAACAAGGAGTTCCAGTTGGTTTCCGCACCCCAATGATGTACCCCAATGGAATGCCATTCCCAGAAAGGCCGGATCATTCTCCATTTGAATACTATCAAGGACCAGCTTATTATGATAACGATACTTTGAGTTTGTTAAACATTAAATTGTACGAAAGGAGGCTTTTGGATGCTATCGATTCTGGATTTGTTTTAACTAGGGATGGAAGATTTATTTCTATTTTTGAACCGCAAGGTTTTGAAATTTTGGGCAATTTGATTCAAGCTAACCCCGAATCTCCCAATGCAAGGTATTACGGACCTATTCTAGTCTTCGCTAGATACCTTCTTGGACACTCAAATTATCCTCTCAATCAATACTACATCAACCCATCTGTGATGGAACAATACGAAACTTCCCTCCATGATCCAGCATTCTATCAACTCTACAAAGTTATGATCTACTATTTCCAAAGATTCAAGCAATACATGCCGATGTACACCGAACAAGAACTCTTATTACCAGGTGTTAAAATCCAAGATGTTAAAGTTGACAAATTGACCACTTATTTCGACTATTTCTACACTGACATCTCCAACATCATGCACAGCAAGGGACCAGTTGAAGATATCCCAATTCAAGTCAGACAATATAGATTGAACCACAAACCATTCAACTATTACATGAATGTTATGAGTGAGAAACCATATGAAGCCGTTGTCAGAGTTTTCTTGGGACCAAAATACAGCGTTAATGGAGAACCTATTGATATCAACAAGGATAGAATGAGTTTCGTTGAATTAGACAAATTCCAATACACCTTAGTACCAGGACTTAACACCATCGAAAGAAACTCGAGGGAATTCTACGGTTACGTTCCAGAACGTAGCACATACAAGGAACTTTTCATGCAATTGGTTAACTACCAAACTCCAATTCAATATAGCCCAAGAGTTTACTGGGGATTACCACAAAGGTATCACAATCAATTTTTACATCACAGTTTATATTATTAAAATCTTTTTGTTTAGAATGATGCTTCCTAAGGGTACTCAACAAGGCCAAGAATACCAAATGTACTTCTTGATCACCCCATACCAACCAGTTGAGAAGGTTTTGCCAAGAAGCTACCTTGGAAACAGACCACACTTGTACTGGGACCGCACCTTCGACAAACTCCCATACGGGTATCCATTCGACAGACCCATTGATGAAAGCGTTTTCTACGTTCCAAACTCTTACTTCAAGGATGTCGTCATCTACAACGAATTCACCCCCGAATTCTCCGGGGAATACCCATACACCCCATTCTATGAGAACTATTAAGTTCTCATTGGGTTGTCCAGAATGATGATTATTTGATTTGATCGCAATTTGTTATTATGGTTTTATTTTAAAATAAATAGAAATATCGCATGGTTAATTTTGTTTGTAATTTTCTAAAGTCCTAAATCAATCCTAAAGTAATTTTGACTTAATCCTAAATCAATTCCATGTATAACAGTAACAATGGCAATAACAATCGTTTTGCTATATCTTGGAGTAGAAACTGCCAAATATTCTTGTCAACTATTACTATTCAATGACTCCGAATTGCACTGAATGACCCCCAATGGCTTCCAGTTCATCTCAATATCTGTCACTGACTCTCAATAGCTCCAAATTTGAATGGATTGAGATTTCAAATGGTTTTCCCATGTCTAATTAAATGAAATAATAATAACACTGGTATAGAGGTCACGCAACGACATATCTAGGGAAAATGGAGATTTAGGTTAGCCTACCGGAAATCGCAATAAAAAAAAATGAAAAAGATAGGATATTGTATATGTTGGTGCACAATCTATTCAAATAAATAATAGATCATTATGACATTTCCTTTGGGGATCATGAGGAGGCTGACATAACTTTAATGCGGAACTTGAGATTTATTATACCAGAGCAATAACAAGGTAAGCATTCATGAATAAGATTCTCTCCATCAATATCAATTTAAATGGAAAAATCATTCCGATTAATTAAATATTGATAAACCATAGAGATATAATGGAGAAACTTTTTAGGTCTATTATCTCATCAACTTCTCCTCAACTACTACTTTATTACTTCCTAGACTTAAGATTTCTTTTACTTTCAATTTCCTTGCTCTGCCTAGTGATTTCGCCATCACTATTATCCTCCAGTCCTTTTTCCTTTCGTAGTTCTCCTAATAACTTCCCATTTCCCTTCCATTGTTCGCCCCCTCTCTCTCTCTGTTATTAACTTCATCAAATCACTTATTTCTCCTATACTTTTCGTCTTCTCTCATTTCCATCACAAAAAGTTTTCTTTCTAGCTCTTAATACTTTTCTCCAACGATCGCATTTATCGTAGAATTATTCAGGTGCATTAGAATCATTGGCAAAGTAAGCAATCAAGGATCAAAATCTTCATTGATTCATGCACCTATTAGTATATAGGAAGCAAAATTGCTTTTTATATTCTCTGCAAAGGTATATACAATCTTGAAAATCTTAATAATCGCCTTGAAAAAGTCCTAAAATAATGAAATTAAATATTTTAATGTTAAAGGAGGCAAAATTAAGGTATTATAACTACTATGTAGCTAAAGTGTGATAACCATGACATTGCACTGTTAAAATACGTTCTTATTATACATTACAATAGAATTTATCATTAAAGTATCTTCTCTTTTGTACATACAAATTTAATTTTAATAGTTTATGGAGTTATTCTACACATTCTCCTAATTAATGAATTCATTGTGTACTTAGTTTTGTGATAAATTTGGCAAAGGAAATAATTTTTCTTCAAGCTTTGATACAACATTTAACACATAATATACAGATTCATTGTAAGTCTAATTAAAGTCAAATAATGAACAAAATCAAATCTTATCATATCTTTATAACAATACAGGAAGTAAAAACACAAGGAATATTAATTCAAGGTTTAAAAAAACCAAATTTGAAATTAAATTTTTATTATTTACCAAAATTTATTGGTAAAAACGCGTAACATTTAATCTTCTTCTTCTTCAGCTCCGCCACCTCCAGCTCCTTTACGGAGATTCTTCCTCTTAACACGTCCAGGACGACCACCACCAAATGGAGATTTGAGTGAGAAGTCAATGTGTTTTTGAGAGTCCAATCTCACAATGAAAGAGGGAATATTGACAACTTGTTTTCGAACTCTACACAAAAATATAATAATTAATAAACATCAATTATACTATTAAACATAATTTTAAAATTTTAATTTTCAGTTACCTCTCTTTATAAATCTTTTTATAAAGGTATTAATTTCAAGGCGTTAAACCAAGTTAAACTTGTTTAAGTGGCCTTTAAGAATTAAAACATCAACAAATTGGATTTATTTATTACCGAATGTGTCTCTGTCTGATCAAGACGCGAGCGTGATGAATCGATTTGGCCAAACCCAATTTGAAAACTTGCGTTTGGAGGCGTCTTTCCAAGAAATCTTCAATTTTCAAACCCAAAACGTAATCGAGCTTCATTCTACCTTCATCTAAGACACCAATACGAACCAAACGACGTAAAAGTGCATTACCTAACAACAACAAAAATGTTATTAACATAAAAAGTTAATATTAAAGACTCAAGATTATAATTGAAATAAAAATGTTTCCTTTTACTTTCGGCACAGGACATCTCATTATGAGTGCACTGCTTCCTAGCTGGATTTTAATTTACCCCTGATTTAGTATAAAAACTGGCACTCTTCAACAACATAAAAATCGTTGAGAGCGTGGCGAAGGGGAATTTATTAAAAATTATATTTTTTGAAATAAAATTACCTTCAAATAATCTTTTAGGATCTTTTTCTTCAAGCGTGAGCAATTCTCGGGCAGCTTTACGGATCTTAGCGAGGGTGTATTTAACTCTCCATACTTCACGTTTATTACGGAGACCATATTCTCCAATAATCTTTAATTCCTGATCTAAACGAGCCTTTTCATAAGGCCTACGTGGGGTGACATAGGTCTTGGAGCAGACCGACGGTATCCTACCGTTTACCATCCTTGAGTATCAACTAATTACAAAATAAAAGTGAGGTTAAAAGTGACGTTTACAAAAATAAGTGAGGTTAGAAGCGACGTTTACAAAAAAAAAAGTGAGGTTAAGTACGATTTAATTTAAAAAATGTTCCCTTGCCATGAATCGAGTATATAATTTTTATATCCCGGGATTAAACAAGGTTTATTCTTGCCTTATTTGATTAGATTCCACTTTAGAGGTTATGTAACCGCAACGTGTATCTTGCCCAAAGAATAAGGCTGTAAAAATATCGTTCATCCTGATGTAAAAGAGAATTTAATTGATGTTGAAGTGATTATTGTACAATAAATGATAAAGGATGATTAATATTTTTAGCAAAAAACTAATAAAGTTAGAAAAAGTAGAAAAATTATTGCTTACCTATCTTACTCGGTTGACATACGGGAAGTAAAAGAAGTCGTCGATGTATAAAAACTTGCTCGTTGCTTAGTTACCCCCACTATTCTTTGTATTGGTACCAACATTATTTATTTTGTAGTATTACCAACTTATTTTAATTCAATCTTTTTTTGTTAATAAAACATAAAAATATAAATAAATTTGTTATTAATTTGAGATAAATAATAATTGATTAAATTAATCAACAATATTATTGACTACAATTATATTTCATGAAAAAACTATCCAAGCAAACATAACCTCAAAAAATTTAAATCTGTCACTTTAATTTTATAAAAATTATATTTTATTCATAATTCTACACAAAATAACCTAACAATTAATTAAAATATGGAAGAATCTTTAAGACACTTAACTGTAACCGATTACGGTGAACCTCCACAAAAACAAAACGAGGTAAGCACGTTTTTTTTTTAGGTTATCTTAATATTTTCACCACAATTTTATTTTTAAAGCATTTACAAAGCCTTGGTAGCCCCCACACCACCAGTTTCAACTATATGGTCAACGCAGGTCTTGATGAAGCAATAAAAGATATTTCCGTTGATTTTGAATTACCAAATAAAGATAGAATTAATTTGAACGTACTCGAAGCGTCAATTTCGCACCCAACAATCGCCGTGGGGACAATTGGAGCGCGAAATCCTCACGTTTACCCATCAGAATGTCGGCAAAGAGGGGCTACATACCGAGGAAAATTTCAAATGAGACTTGGGTGGTCAATTAACGGTGAAAAACAAATTCCGATTGATCAAGATTTAGGCGATATCCCGATTATGTTGAAATCGAATCGGTGTCATTTAGAGAATATGTCTCCTAAACAACTTGTTGGTGTTGGGGAGCATGAAGAGGAATGGGGGGGTTATTTTATTATTAAGGGTTTAGAACGATTAGTTAGAATGTTGTTGAGTACGAGAAGTAATTATCCGATCGCTGTGAGAAGACCAGGATGGAAAGGAAAGGGAACTTTATTTTCGGATGTTGGCGTTTTTATGAGATGTGTTAAATCAGATCAAACAAGTGTTACTAATATTTTACATTTCGTCACTGATGGTTCTGCAAAATTAAAATTTTCAATCCAACAAAAACCTTATTACATCCCATTAATGTTGATTTTAAAAGCTTTGGTTAATTACGCCGATCATTACATTTACTCGAAACTAATTGAAGGTTACGAAGAAGATTTATATTACATCGAATGCATACAAAACATGTTACGAGGTCTCCATCAAGAAGGTTATCACAACCAATCCGATTGCAAGAAATTTATTGGAGGGTTATTTCGCGTGGAAGTCCGAGAATGCGCTCCTTGGTTCACCGATGAAGAAGTCACCGATTACATTATTAAAAGAAGTATTTTAATAAGTTTAGAAGAGCCAAAAGATAAATTTGATACTTTAGTTTTTATGACGAAAAAATTATTTACCTTTGCAAGAAGTAAATGTAAAGTTGAAAACAATGATGCGGTTATGATGCAGGAAGTTTTACTTGGTGGTCATTTATACCTTCAAGTTTTAAAGGAAAGAATTTTAATTTGGTTAAGAAATCTTCGATATAGAATTTTAAAAAAAGCACGAGAGACCGTTAATTTTAATTTGGGACCTTCTGAGATGAATCAAATTGCGAGGGTTAATCAAGGATCTTCAATGTCGTTTGGGAATAATCTTGAAATGTTTATTTCAACCGGAAATTTAGTAACTAAAGAAGTCGAATTAATGCAATCGAAAGGTTTAACAATTGTCCCTGAAAATATTAACCGAATGAGGTATATGTCTCATTTTCGCGCGGTTCATCGCGGATCTTTCTTCTTGGAGATGCGCACAACGGAAGCTAGGCAATTATTACCGGATGCTTGGGGTTTTATTTGTCCTGTTCACACCCCCGACGGACCTCCATGCGGGTTATTAAATCATTTAACCATGGATGCTGTAATTACGGATTTTCCCGATATAAATCTCGTTAAGAACATTCCAAAATGTTTATTAGAATACGGAATGATACCGTTACACGACACCGAAATGATCCAAACGATCGACATTTCCGAATCATATTCAGTTCTTTTAGACGGAAAATTTTTAGGTAATAATAATTTTTATTGTTTTTAATTTACAATATTTCTCCAGTACAATATATACAGTGTGTTAATTAACTATCGTATCCAACGTCATCATTGCAATTATGCAACCAATATCACAGTATACGTGATTTGTGTATTACACTGTGATGTTGGTTGCATACTTGCAATGTATCTACAGGTATTTCACGTAACTGGTTCATTGGAACTTTTTTAGGTTCCACTATTCGTACGGTTTTGAAATTTTGGTAGCATGGATTGTTAATTCGGAGCTTTCGATCTAAAATATTTTCAAGATGGCTACCACTTCCGATCTACCGGAAGTAGACCATATCTCAACCAACGTTCATTCAAAAAAGCTCTAAATTGGCACAATTACTCTTCAGATGCAATCAAATAGATTGTCATTTATTGTATCAAAGTATCTTATACAGGTTGGTCAAAAATCTAAATTTTATCATTAATTTTTTGTTTTTATTGTTCCATTTATTTGATCTTCTGTTTGTTATTTTTGGTAAGAAAAAGGTATAATCGTAATAGTTAATAGTACAAATAATAATAGAAATAAATTAAACGAAAAACTGTCGTCAAAATGTCATGGCCTTCTAATAAAAAAATTGCATTTCGTGCATATTTTAATAAATCTCTCAATATGAGACAAACTACAATAAATAGGTATAAGAATGTTTATAGGTAATTTGTAGAGAATTAAATTCCCTTTCTGATAGGCTAAAAAAATATAGGGCGTTCCATTTAAAATTTTCGACTTTCTCGCCATTGAATATGGAGAAACAGTAATTAAATTTTTGACCAGGTTGTATAAGATACTCCAATACAACAAATGACAATCTATTTGACAGCATCTGAAGAGTAATCGTGCCAATGTAGATCTTTTTTGAATGAACGTTGGCTGAGATATGGGGTTTTAAAGCGCATGTTGAAATTTACCAAAGAAAGCTTAAAACCAAAATAACTCGAAAACGAAAAACGCTAGGTACCAATAACTTTTATCAAAATCAACCTATTTTTCTACGTACAATTAAACGGTGTAATAAAAACTATAGCATTCCATTTAAAATAACGAAGTTATAGTCTACTTCCGGTCTACTTAGTGGCCATCTTGAAAATATTTTAGATCGAAAGTTTCGAATGAACAACCCATGTTACCGAAATTTCTACGAATAGAGGAACCTGAAAAAGTTCTAACGAACCAGTTACATGAGACACCTGTATATATACAGGGTGGTTCAGTTTTTAATCGGGAAACTTTACTAGGATGTAGTACTTACCAAAATAACACAAGTTTTATATATAAGCATAGGGTCGCAATTCTTTTGTTTTCGAGCTATGAGCTGTCAAAGTTGAGCCAAAAATTTACAAAACCTTACAAAAACTTGAAATTTTGTATGTATGTACTACTGGTTAATACCTTGTTTCCAATCATACCTTAAACTTCAGCCCCGTGCTCCGGTGAAGTTGAAGCCCCCTCAACTCTGGAAAATTTTTAGGTTATGTTTCCCAAGCCCGGATAGATACTTTAGTTGAAAATTTGCGAATGTTAAAAATTGATGGTAAAAGAATCCCTTTTACGACCGAAATCGTTTTGGTACCCATCAAAAAAGTGACGTCTCAATACCCCGGATTATTTTTATTTACGGGAGCCGCTCGGATGATGAGACCGCTAAGAAATCTAATCGCAAATAAAATTGAGTACGTAGGAACGTTCGAACAAGTTTATTTGGAGGTTTGTATCAAACCACAAGAATATTACAAAGGAGTCACGACGCATATGGAGCTTTCAAAAACTTCGTTTTTGTCGAATTTGGCCCAATTAATTCCAATGCCCGATTGTAATCAATCTCCCAGGAATATGTATCAGTGTCAAATGGGGAAACAAACTATGGGGACTCCGTGTCATAATTACGATTTGCAAGCTGAAACGAAACTTTATCGATTACAAACGCCAACGGCTGCTTTATTTAGGCCGTATCATTATAAGAAAATTGGGTTGGATCATTTTTCAATGGGGACTAACGCTATTGTTGCTGTTATTAGTTACACGGTAAGATCACACTGATTCTGCGGCATGGGGTTTGTTAGTCAATTTCATTTATACTGGAAATTACATTTTAAAAAGAGGAGAATATTTTTAAAACGATTATTTTACTATTATCAAATTATTTCAAATAAACAAAGTGCTCTAAATGATACAATAAATAATAAAATTAATCATAAAATGCGAACACATTTTAGAAGTTAAGAAAAACGTTTTGGATGGGGTTTTCTATGGTGTTTTTGGTCCGGACAGTCTCCTTGCAACTTCTAGCTGTAGTTTGCCATCATATGGTGTTCCCAATGGCCTTGATATCTTTCCTCCATAATCTTGATGTCCTGGTGGAATCTTTGATCATCGCACATAATACTATTTGATACTTATATTAGCTCCTAATTTTTTATTCATAAACGATGGAGCGTTTCCTCCAGTCATATTCATTCTGTATGGCTAGTTTTTACTGCTCCTTTACGCACGACTGTTCCCCAAACGAAGAAAAAAATTTTAAATCTACACTCACTGACCACTATTTATGAAATGAAGTTTTTCTAAAACAAGTTTAATATTCTTCCTTAAGAATAGTTGAATGAGCTATCGGGATTGAAGCTAATTTATTTCCATTATGCAGTAATAGACATTGCAAACTTTTTTTTAACTATTTATCAAAAGTTGCTAGATTTTAGTTAGTATACTCTTTTTGGTCGTTAAAATATGGAAGAATGTCGTGCTTTCTAGTTCGATAACATGCTAGTGATACGTGTTTTTCTTTTAGTCTTGTCGCAAGAAGCTCAGCTGATGTCTTAGATAAATTTCATTCGCATCATTCGAAGTCATTTTCGCTATTGTTTTTACTCTGACTATTTCAAATTTCAACATCATCACAGCAATCGTCTAATTAGGAAGTAAGTTTTGTATCGGTTCATACTTTTTACATTCACAGCACAAAAATAGCAATCATCAAGGTGGTTTCTTGTGTCTGTCCATTTCACAGTAGACCTAGAACTAGAATCATCCGGGTTTAGCCGTCTTGAGAGACATGCGGCTAAATCCGAATGTTTCTAGTTCTAGGTCTACTGTTAGTTGTAGTAACAGTTCTAAGTAGCGTTAGTTGGCACTAAATAACCCTAGATTATGTATTGTTATGGAACTACAACTAACACTAGACCTAGAAACATCGGGGTTTAGCCATGCGTCTTTAAAGGATATAATGTACAGGCTGAGTACTTCATAATTATATATGTATCTAAATTGACTCCACAAACTTATGCCGCAGAAACAATTTTTTTTTTGTACCCCTGTGTAATTTCTGTTTGATAAACTTCTAGGGTTACGATATGGAAGATGCAATAGTAATAAATAAATGTTCTGAAGAACGTGGTTTTGCCCATGGCTCAATTTACAAATCGGAATTTTGCGAGCTCGACGATTCAAATTCTTACTTTTGTAGAGACCCATCAAAAGAAAATTTAATCGATTATATCGACTCCGATGGTTTACCATACATTGGAAGAAAAATGTCCGAAGGGGAACCTTTATATTGTTATTACAACACCGATGAATCGAAATATGTAATCCATAAATTTAAAGGTCGCGAAGAATGTTACGTGAACAGCGTTCGATTATGTGGTGATTTTAACGTAAAAGCACCGAAAATAGCTTGTATAACTTATCGAGTTCCTAGGAATCCCTCTGTAGGGGATAAATTCGCAAGTAGGGCTGGCCAAAAAGGGATTTGTTCTCAAAAATGGCCCGCGGAAGATTTACCGTTTACAGAAACGGGGATTGTGCCCGATATTATCTTCAACCCTCACGGATTTCCATCTCGTATGACAATCGCTATGATGATTGAGATCATGGCTGGTAAATCAGCCTCTATTCACGGACTAATCCACGATGCGACTCCATTTAGATTCGGCGAAGACACAACAGCAATTGATTATTTTGGGAAACTATTACAAATCGGTGGTTGTAATTATTATGGAACAGAAACAATGTATTCCGGAATTGATGGGAGATTGTTCGAAGCTCAAATCTTTATGGGAGTTGTTCATTACCAACGACTAAGACACATGGTCTCAGATAAATGGCAAGTTCGATCAACGGGCCCAATGGATGTTTTAACAAGACAACCACTAAAAGGGCGAAAAAGAGGTGGAGGGGTTCGATTTGGAGAAATGGAACGTGACGCTTTATTAAGTCACGGAGCGGCCGCTTTAATTCAAGATAGACTTTTAAATTGTTCGGATAGAATGGTTGCTTATGTTTGCACTTCTTGCCATTCCTTATTAGGACCTATGACTAAGGTTACTCGAATGGCAGAAAAAGCAAATTTAATGGAAACGAAGGAAATTTGTAGGTTTTGTGATTCCGGGAGGGATATTGACGCAATACAAATTCCTTATATTTATAAGTTTTTTGTAACGCAATTAGCATCGTGTGGAATTAATGTTAAGATTAAATGTAAATGAATTTATTAAAAATATAATTGAAGTTTGTAATGGATTTAGGCAACCAATTATACACCTATTATTAATATTTGATATTTAACTTATTTCTTTTTTGGTTTTGACGAAATGATTAATCTTATTAATTATGATTAGTTATTTAATAATTACTTTAAATAATAATTTAAAAATATTTTGATTAATTGATTTATTTTTATCAAGGTTATGTCAAGAAACGTCAAATCAACATAACCTATAATTTTTTTTTTGTGAATTGATATATTAAAGAAAATAATGGATAAAAGAATCGATATTGGGACTAAACTTGAAAAAGTAATATTATTAATTAAAAAAATCAATAATGTAATAACCTTTTTTGTAGGAACAATCGAATTTGAACATATTATTGGAAAGATTATCGAAGAGTGAGCAAATCGCAAAAGGAATAGATACTATATTAAATACGTTCGAAAATAGGCTCTCTAAATTAGAAGGAACTATCTTACCGGTTTATAACGAAACCGATAATTTACACAAAACGAAACAAAGTAAATTTAATTTAATATCTGATAATCCTTTAATTTAAATTTTTTTTAACACAGATATTGATAAAACGATTCAATTATTGGATAATGTCATTAATTATTACGAAATTTCTTCAAAAGTTGAAGATATAATCGAGAAAGGACCCCGGGTTGTGACTGATGGAGGGATCGATTTGGACACTTATTTAATTTCATTGAATAAATTATCGAAAGCGCAAAAATATTTTGAGAAACACATTCCCCAAAGTGTAGAGTTAGAAAATGTTGTAAGTTATACTTAAGGTATAATTCAAGAATTATTTTGTCGCTTAAAAATCGACAATTTTGTTTTCAAGTAATTCAAAATGTCCTTTTTACCATCTATAAACTAAAGATAACCTAAAACCTATACTTCTAAAACCCCTCTTCAAACGTTACATTTGGATCCAACTAATTTATTTCAGAATTTTGTCTAGAAATTCCACTTTGAGTTGGGTTAATTAACATTTAAACCAGTGCAAATTTCTCAAATGTTGGGTTGGTAGCGCTAGTTAGCATAAGAGATCACTATGCTGCATATTTTTATTGCAACATACTGATATCTTATGCTAGAACTAACACTAGACCTAGAACTAAAAACATTCGGGTTGGGTTGGGTTGAGTTAGAAACATTCTAATGTTAAGACAGATAGTTTTCTTTTGAAACTCCAATTAAAGCATGAAAAAATGTTAGGATAGGTCAGTTTTGTTTTGAAACCCTAATTATAGCGGGAAGGAATGTTAAGACTGGTAGTTTTCTTTTGACACTTCAATTAAAGTGTGATGAAACCCTAATTAAAGCATGAAAGAATGTTAGGATAGGTCAGTTTTGTGTTGCAGCTCTAATTATAGCGTGAAGGAATGTTAAGATAGGTCAGTTTTCTTTTGAAACTCCAATTAAAGCGTGAAGAAACCCTAATTATAGCGTGAAGAAATGTTAAGACAGGTCAGTTTTGTGTTGAAACCCTAATTATAGCGTGAAGGAATGTTAAGACAGGTAGTTTTTTTTTGAAACTCCAATTAAAGCGTGAAGAAACCCTAATTAAAGCGTGAAAGAATGTTAGGATAGGTCACCCGATACTTTCTAGCTTTAGTGTTAGTTCTAGTTTTACACTAGCACTGTCACCAAAATTAACACAAGACCTAGAACTAGAATCATTCGGGTTTAGCCGTCTTGATAGACGTGCGGCTAAATCCGAATGTTTCTAGTTCTCGGTGTAGCGTTAGTTTTAGTTATAGTGTTAGTATAAAACTAGAACTAACACAAGACCTAGAACTAGAATCATTCGGGTTTCAAAACACGTCTCGCAATTGGAGAACTCTAGGTACGACGTCCGAGCATAACTTTGTTATATTTGGATAAAATTATTCAAAAAAATCCTAAAAAATCAATGAAAATGAGCCTCCTAATGTGGTTTCCCCCCTTAACACAGAATCTATTGACACATTTTTAAGCCACATGTTTTCTTGAATTTTTCCATTACTTAAACAATTTGATTAAGTAATAAATTAATTGAAATAAATAATTTTAAGTCCAGCTTATTCAATAAAGGAAGCGATAAATTAAACGCCGAGTTTAAAACAATTTTGGATAAACATAATAAGCCCATGTTACCGGTGGCTTTAATGAATCTAATTAATACGGATGAAGGTAATTATTAATTACTAAAAAAAATAATAAATTAATTTTTATTATAAAAAGATGGAGGTGTCACTGACGATATCAACATTTTACCCCCTATTTTCCCCGATACCATCAAATCGAGCTTAATAACCATGGCCGATTGGTTATACAACAACGGAAGGGATGAATATTTAACGGTTTATGGGAAAATACGAGGTGATGTGCTTCAAAGATCGTTAACATCGCTAAAAAAGTATCAAAAATCGGTTAGTGGAGGAAGTGTTCATGGCACTTCTGGTTCACCCATGTTGGTACGTTTTTCTTATCAATCTTATCAACAAATGAAGTAATTTTTTATGAAATTAAGAAACCCAAATTTCAATCGAAACAAGAATCAACCCGTAGACCTTCAACTCGGCGTTTACACCAAGTTTTTGAGAAAAAAGCAAATCGAATGTTATTGAGGGCTTCTCAAACCATCGAGCAATCAACCGGGTTGAATTTAGGAGGACGTAGAGCGTCACATTTAGGTAATTTTATGACCTTTTAAATGAATACAAACTTATTTTTTATTTAAAGATGTTATGGCAATCGGAGAAGAACTTGAAAACGAACAAGAAATGGAAAATTATTTAGTTTGCGTCGTCGCGTTACACAAATTGATGCAAATTGAACTCTACGTAATGAAAGGAATCATCGAATCGACTCATCAAGCGAGAGTTTTTGAGTTAATCGTTAAAGAAGCTTTAGATTCGATCGTGCAAGATGGAGAAGTAAATTAAAAAAATTAATTTAATCAATAATGATTTACTTTTGGTTTTAGAATATAGCAGCTAGGGCTAAACGGAGTATAAGTAGGCACGATTTTAGTTCGGTTTTGGTGATTTTCCCCATTTTGAAGCAATTAATTGCGTTAAAACCGAAATTTGAGCGAACTGTTGAGGAATGCGATGCAAGAATTAAAGCGAAATTCGATTCTATCCTTCATACTCTTCATTCAACTGTAATAAGTAATAAAATTAAATTAAAAAGAATTAATTGTTACACAAATTTTGTTTAGGGAGTAAAAGCTTTAGAAGATTTCATCGAAAGTCTCCGAACCGATTCAGTGACTCAATTACCACCAGATGGAACCGTACATGAATTAACCAGTAACGTATTAATGTTCCTTGAGCAATTATTAGAATACACCGAAACGATTGGAAAAGTTTTATCGCAAGATCCAAGTTACGATCTCCAATACGATAAAGCAAAAACCAGTAACAAAAATAAAGTTCTTTTAGGATTTTATATAAGTACTTTTTAACATAAAAATATCTTAATTATATTAATAACTTAATTTATTGATTTAGAGAAAGTTTTGGTTCAATTAAATCATACTTTATACAGTAAGAGTGAGCAATATAGCGATCCAGCTTTAAAAGCGATTTTTCGCTTAAATAATAATAATTACGTATTAAAATCGTTGCAAAGAAGTAATTTATTAGAATTGTATTTAATTGCTGAGCCGGGATGCGAAGATTTTTATTACAAAACTATTCAAGATCAAAAAAATCAATATTCGACTCAAAGGTCCTCAAAAAATTCTTTTTAATTTATTATTTTATCCTAAATATTTTTTAGTTGGTCGAAATTGTTAAATTATATATCGATAAAGGATTGCCCAATTAATATTCAACATGGGGATAAATTAAAGGATAAAGAGCGAGCTTTTATTAAAGAAAAATTTGCTGTAAATTCCTTAATTAATCCTTTATTTATATTTTTTTTAACTGATTAAATTTTAGGGTTTTAATAAAGAAATAGAAGATGTGGTTAAAGTTCAACGAGGATATTCTATCCCAGATGTTCAACTTCGAGAAAGTTTAAAGCGAGATAATAAGGAACTTATTCTTCCTAAATACAACGCTTTTTATAATTAGTAAGAACTTAAATTAAACTATAAATATGAATGGAATAATTTTAATTAATAATTTTCTTTTAGTTTTGAGGGAACTTCGTTTACAAAAAATCCAGATAAGTATATTAAGCATAAACCGGATGAAGTTGCGACGTTGTTTGATAAAATTTTTGATGTTGCTGCTTAAAATGCTGCTTACAAAATTTTATTATTAATAATAAATAAATTTTATTTCGGTTAATACAAAAATTACAACATATATTTAAGATTAATTTGAATATATAAATATTTTAAAGGCTATTAAACTTATTTATGAAGATTTGAGACTATTTTTCAACTTCCGGTTAAAAATGTCAATTTTGACATATTTGTAATCGTCGTGGAAAATCCTTTAAAATGAGTCCAAACTTCTAATTCCAATATTACTCGAGATATAAGCAACTTCCGGTTTGAAATGTCAATATCATTTTGACATTCTTAATTTTTATAAAATGTCTTAACATTTGTCACAAATACAAAAATATAATAAAAAAATTAAGGTTGGTATTAATATTTAAAAATTAAATTGCTAACTTCGGGTTTAATGTTTTCTATTCTAACTTTTTTGTTTTTTGAGATAAGTGCGTCATCTTTGGACTCATTTTAAAGGTTTTTTAGTGAAGATGACGAATATGTCAAAATTGACGTTTCAAACCGGTGCTAAAAAGCTGCTATCCTAGGATGTCAATTGTGGTGGAACTGAATACACACTTTCAACAATAACCACAAGATGAGTAATGTCAGCTGCTTAACTTCAATATCAATAGGTAAGTAAAGTAGATGATAAAAACAAATAAATAGAATATAAAGTAAATGCTTTATTCTGGTTTACATTTTAATTTCAAATTTAAAACAGAAAATCGTTTCTCTATATCAATAAGAACATAAAAATGAACTAAAACATCTTCGAAAAATTTCTACCTGAGTGATAGTAAAAAAATACATTGTATCTCATAAAAATCTAATCTATCTAGGGCTACATTTTGTCTTTATTAAGGCTCATCTCATTATTTAATTTCTCTTTTTTAATTTAACCTTATGACAATAAAGATATCATTAAATAGCAGTACAATAAGTAGAAACTAGCAAAGTTCTTTGGTAGTATTAATAAATAATCGTGATGTTTACGAGTGGATGGATCAACATTTATAAACAATACGAAAAGCGACTGTTTTATTTTTGCTTCTCTATAATCGCTGATATATTCTTATAAATATTATTAATAGTTTACATAAGTGTGACTAGAGACCAAAAAAATTGTAATAAAATGTTCTTTTATTATTACGTTTAAACGTAATAGTTAATAACAATCGTTTCAGGAAATTTTTTTGTTTCAAACCGAGCTACAAAATCACAGTTTACTTTTTTTTATAAGGTGCTATACTCGGTTACAAAAAAAAATCAAAACTTTTTTCTTATTTCTACGTAAAATAAAACGAAAAAATTTTTTTACAATAATAGAAATAATAAATTATTCTCTTAAATAATAAATTCACAAAATAAATAGAACTACTCTAAGGTAATGTTTTTTTCTTTTTTTTTTTTTGAAAAAGGCGACATTTTTCGGGTTGTTTTCAGTCTTTGGCTTTCGCTGAATAATAAATTATTATTTACATGAAGAATTTACATGAAAAAGAAAATTGTTTTAGTTCACACTCCAAAAAGCCTGTTATAAACATATTGACTTTTAACGCCGTCATCAACATTATCTATCGTTTTGATATCAACCGATGGGTTCATAACGTTAAATAAAACGGCGAATATTGTACAAGCCGCATATACACCTAAAGCAACCCACCAGAGAAGTTGTTCGTGAAGTTTTTGCTCGAAATTTTTAAGAACTAATAATCCTATAGTTAAACCAGCTAAAGCTCCAGTTAAATGAGCAACGTATGAGACTGGCGGACCTAAAGTCTCAACGTTGTATCGAGAGAAAATTGCGTAACCAACATCACAGGAAGCTAAAATAACAAAAATCTTAGTTAAAAAATTTTTTTAAATTAATTTTAACTTACCAATAGCAAATATTCCTAATAGCCTTAAAATTCCGCATTGCATATTAACATAATTTAATAATACGTTTGCTAAATGAGCTGCTAAAAGGGCGTAAACTCCGCCGGATGCTCCAACAAGGCAAACTTTGGTGTCAAAAACGGAAGTGCCTAAAGAACCAGCTAATACGCCAGCCATGTAAATTACGAAAACTCTTCCAGATCCATGAACCATTTCTAAGGGTAAACCAACTAATAATTGAACGACCAAATTGAATCCTAAATGTAACCATCTGAAAATAAAATAATAATTAATTAATATTAATTCATGACATAAACAACTTTAAAAATTCATTTCTGATAAAGTGTTAGGAATGAAAAATTTGTAAATTATTCTTCGAGTTTACAACCCTTGATTGTTTGGGTTAGTTTAGGTCGACTTGAATTGAGTTTGGTTATGCTGATTGTATTGGTGACAAACCTAACTCAAATATAAAGAACCAACAAGAATGGTATCCTTCAAACCAATATATTTGATTGAAACGATTTGTAAACTTCAATATCTTTTAATATGGTACCTCAAAACGGAATTGAACAAAGCCTCATCATTATCGACCATCCAGAAGTATTTGGAAGATAACAATTCTGATCTTGAAAAGGAACCATAACCCCCACAATATATTCCATATAGTATTGAAAATGATAACCTCAAATTCAGGAATTTAAAATATTAAATCATTAAAATGGCCGATTTCCAATTCCACCAATATCAAAATAAAAAAAGTACTAAATAAATATTATTTGCAAACATAATTTTAAGGCGATTTAATTATTATTTATATTAACCATCGATTTCAATCCGCTTCATTAATATTAATTAAAGATTTAATTAATAAATTTTATTTTATATAAGATTTATTTACGTTTTAATTAAGAATTAATTTGACATTTGACGTTATGTCATTGTTGTGAGTGAAACGTTTTAGTTACGTTTTGAAGTGGTGAAAATAATTTCTTAAATTTATTTAATTTAATTCGTTTTTATTGTGTTATCGACAAATAAATTTGTTTATGTGATGTTTTATGGGGGTAAGTAAAAAATTATTTTATGAAAGAAACATTTTTTGTTGCTTAAAAATCGTATCATAATTTTTGCTTTGATTTAACCTTACAAATGTCAAAATAAAATGACTTAAAACGCCAAATCAATAAGATTTAGATTTTTTTATTGTTGTTATCTTATTCTATTCTTGTTTTTTTTTTGTAGCGGTAAAAATCGGTACCGTACAGCAAAGAAGAAGAAACGTTTTTTTTAAACTCCATTAAATTATTCCCATTGTCGAGTTCTCGACTCGGTTTATAACGTAATTAGGTTTTGCGTTCACAGTTAAGCAGCGGCGAGGCGAGTTAAAGAAGAGAAAAAGTAAGTGGAGCGTTTAGCCAATTCGGCGTTTCCTTATTATTTCCCAGCGGGAGAATTTTCGACTAATTAGAATATCCGGTCGACTTTAAACTTTTAATAAAAGAACGTTATCGAAAAACTTACCCGGCGTGTAACATCATGTACAAAACGAATCTCCACACTTCCGTTCTTCGATCTGGCCGATAAATAAATATTGAATCGATGGGTACTGGTCCGGATGAATTCATTTCACCCGTTGTCACAGTGTAATAAACAAAAAATGCCAACTGGAACAAAATAAATCAAATTAGAAATGAAATTCGAAAACATCTGCTTTTTGCAATGTGGGGGAAATAAGGAAAAGAAGGCACGTGTCTTCGCACGTGTGTATCACCCCCGTTATTATGTTATGAAGGCCATGTGTTCCGGATTTCCAGAAATACGTGAAACCGCCCTCTCAGTATTTTAACTGTTTAAAGGTGCGGTTTTAAAACGTTACCCCAAAGTACAGAAAACAGAAACCAAACCAACCTCGAAACGCAACCGGAATGTTCTTTAGGTTTAAATTAAGACCCCGGCCGCTTAGTTTATATAAAGACCCGGTTTATTTGGATATTTCAAGTGATTTTGGTAGAGTTGTTAGTGTCTACGTAAGTTCTAAAGTAAACGATTTAAATAATTGAATTAGTTATCAATGGGTAAAATAAAAATCGTTGAAATATAACAAGAAACAGAACAAGGCTAAATCTGTTTCAACTCTAAACACAATAAACGTGAAATTATTCACTCCGGCATTCGCTAAATTTAGCGGAAACAGATTGGATACTTAAACGGCTCCTTTTTTTCAACAACCTCCCAGTTAACTGGTACTTGTTAGGTACAGAAACAACATACAAATCAAGACACACGCTTATTTATCTTCTTTGAAGAGCGGAGATGAGAAATTTCTTTTTAAAAAATTTTTAGTTGGGAATGAAAAGTTTCTTTGGTTTTCGCCGAACGTTGACGCAATTTAAATTGTAAGGGATTCAATTTGGCGGGTTCGCGGGGCGCCTCTAAGGGTCACAAAGCGGCGCAAATTGATTGCGCACCTGCGGCCGGCAGGACTCCTGGCGACACTAACTGGACCGCCACCGGAGCCTTCCTGTAAAGACGTCTGACCGAAGTCTTCGACGCCGTCGGTCGTGGCGATCGAAAACTTCGTCAGGAATTTAAAAAAAATTATACTAACCTCCACTAAAGTGATTAAGATGACAAAAATCGGTGGTGGCCAACAAGTGTATTGGTCCGCGAAATATTTCCGGTCCCTTTCGTCCGTGAGAAACTCCTCCGCGACAGCTCGAACCATTCTGTAAAAGAGAGAACGAGAAGATAAGATGTGGTGATTTCGTTCCGTTTTAAGGTGTCAAAACGCGCTTCGAAGACGACTGAGGAGACCAGAAAACCAAACACAATGGGCAATGTAACGCCTATTAACTCAAATCCTATCACGTTCTCAAAACCAAAAAAAGAAAGAATGGCAGCAGCCCGTGTTGTGGGTGGTTGGCATTGTTCTTTAGATACACGCGTTATCCTTTTGCTTATAGGCGTTTTTACTCCCACTTGAAATTTTTATAACAAATCATTTTTAATACATGATTAAATTATTTTTTTAATAAATTAAATTCAAGAATTGAGTAAAATTACTCTCTGCGCAGAAGTGGAAACATAAACTCTATTTTGAGATGTCTCTGTTAACCTCGAGATCTTTATTGGATTTGTTAGAAATTCAACGTTAAACACAAATTTCAAGTAATTCACTCATACTTCTTCTGTCGTTCTTGGTGTATGTGGACTCCAAGAAAAAGGTCAACATTTATCTCTCTACGATCATATAACGCAAGGGAATCGCATAAGATACGAATCATAGAGATCATACAGATGACGAATTTTCGATGGCAAAGAAGAGTTTTTAATCACACAGCATTGAAATTATACTTCAATAATAACTGTATAAATATATATATATAAACTACATTGATTTCAGAATGCAAGATGATGTCTAGAATTAAGTTGTTCAAATTCTACATATTGTAGTCAATGTGGTTTACCACAGAAAGTGATACTTTTGTTTCAATGATTTGTAAAAATAAATGAAGACATGATAAAATGAAATGATTTTTTCTGACATTCTTCTTTGTCTTCTCCTAATTACCTGACTGTGTCGAAAGTTGAGCCATTTCCTATATTTTTTGCCTGTTGTTGGCTACGTTTTTCAACCCAACTTCCCGAATCCTGTCACAAGTCAGGATAAATAGGGAGTGATGGAAAAATATAGAATTAAGGACCCTGCCAGAGTACGGCCCAGTTGTGTCAAGATAACGAGACTTCTATCCTTGGGCTAATTATTCACACGGAGTATATATATATTCGGAGCAAACATATCAACCTCGGAATAGAACGGAGAAACAGGAGACAATTGGCTAGAAATGAGATAAGATTTGGAATTTTGACATTCATGGCCCATAAACCTTAGTAGGTATCCAAATAAAACACAACACCCTAAGGAAAGCACCTCCATCTCAGAACTGTGTGCCTGGTGACGAGCTGGGGTTCCTCCTGTTTAATATAGAAGAGGAATACAGAAGAAAACCACAACAGAAGAACCAGGGATACATCCTTTAGTAAACACTACACAAATTAGACAGTTACAGTGATATGGGATGAAAAGATGAATGTAACGTCAAAAATTCGATAAAAACCTAGTTTTTTGATTACGAAAGTATCACCAAATATCAATTAAAGTATCTACTTTTTATTGACCAAGTCTGTTTTGAAATATCACTTTTAGTTCTTGAGATATATTTTTTTGAATTCATTCGAAATTTGTGAAAAATCGATTTTTTGGAAAATGTTTATGAAATTATCACCAATTATAAATTAGAGTATCAATTTTTCAATAATCAACTTCGTTTTGTAATATTACTTTTAATATTTGAGATATAAAGTTTTTAATTCATTCGAAATTTCTGTATAAATAGAAATTTAAGTTTACATAATTTTTGTAATTTAATAATTTTTTGCACAATTTTTCAACATAAATTTTTTTAAGTTTCTACATATTTTATATAATTTCACACATTTTCGTAAAATTTCACATTAGGAATCGAACTTAATTCGTCAAAAATGCAAGTTAATGAATTTATGATAAATTTGTGGATATAAAATTTACCTGGTGAATAAAGTAGGTTCGACTAGCAGCAAGTGGAAATCGTTCTCTGAGGATACCTCCCTGTCCCTGTGGTGTACTGCACATTTAAAGCTTCTCGTTCGCTTGCCGGTCATCTGTAAAGAAGAAATTTGATAGTTTTAAAAAAAAGACGTATTAAAAAATCAACTTGGAAATGCTAACGCATCGCGTGCCAGCTCTGAAAGCCCTCGCCTGGTATTGATCGCGAAAACACACAGAACCAAGTTATTGATTTTTCTGTTACTCCTACAGCATGTTTTCTTTCGTTCATTTTTAATACAAACACAAGCAAGATTTAGACGTTTATATTTTAGGTTGAATTGTAAGTGTCAAAATTATTTATATGGTTACTTCGACCGCTATATTTGATAATAAGATTATTTTTGGATAATAAGATCATTTCTGTCCGTGACAATATTATAACAATAATGGGAACCTTGGTTTTTGGTTTTTCACCAAGTAAAAACGTTAAAAGCGATCGTTATAATTTACACAATTCGTTCTGATCGGTTGGTTCGGCCGGCGTTTGTCGAACACAACAGAGTCCTCTTCACGGTTTGAGCTGTTTCCCAGAGTTTCATGGGAACGAGATCTTCGAAAACCGCTGCTCGTCGACTTTTTGTGTTTGCAACTAAGACGACGGCGACGAAAAATTGTCAATGGGTCACTACTCCTCTCTCTTCCATTTTTATTCTATTTTAATCTATTCTCGTCGTCGGCGACGTCGCTAAGTATCTCTCTTTTAAATCCCAACACTTTTATTTTATTTTAATTTTTTTTTTGGAAAGTCAGCCAGAAAGAGTGGAGGCTATTTCCGTACACACGTGTTTTTGAAGTCTTCGAATTTTTCAAAAATAAAACTTTTCGACTACTTCCGATTAATATGACCTTTGTATAGGGGGGCTTAGCAGGAAGTTGTGGGCAGGAGAGTCACTTATTCCAGTCGACTGTATCCAAATATGGTCTCTCTGCCAACGCAGTAAGCTGCTGCTATATAGCCCCGTTGTGAATCGTGCGATATTGGGTTCTCTGAGCAATACAAAACGGAGAAGTTGTGGGCTAAACTAAAAGACAACAGCGTTGATGGCCAATTTACTATGGAATGATTACGTAATACCTTAATATATAATTTAAAAAAAAAAATCAAAATACAACAATACTATCTCTCACAAAACGGTTAAGTTCGTTCCAGAGAGAACCTTCCCACAGCTGAAAGAAAGCGCGAGATAAAAATCGTTTCCACGGTTTCTGAGTAATTATAATATGAATTCAAAGAACAATGGAAGCGGTTCTAATTACCGCAGTGGTCATATATAAGTGGTAACTTACTACTGTTTCATCTTTTTTTAATTAATTAAACAGTTAGCTTTTCGATTATTAAGAATTTCCCTCTAAACTTAACTCTTATCTACGTTAAAGATCAACCCGCTCTGATAAAATACCTTTAAGATCGCGGGCCCCCTTTATCTTCCAGACGACGCCAAAAAATCAAAGGTGGCCGTAATAAAGTCATTAGCGAGAGACGTCCAACCGAAATCGCCCAGATTTTATCGCCCCTCTTCCGAGAAGTCCTAATTAACCCGACAGGAACGCGTCGAAATCGTTCGCCGAGTGTATTTTTGGACTTTCCTGTCGACTCCTTTTGCTCGCGATTTGCGGGGGGTCTCATAAAAATTACTCTTTCTTTGAAACAACAACAGAAAAGAAAGTTTATATTACACACCCTGTATGTTTCAAATTTTAGCTTTTATTTTCGACGAAGCGTGTTAGGTAATTTTTACGTATGCGATTATATTAAGCACGGTCATATAAACATGTAGAAACACATTTGTTCTTATACTGTAAGCAGAGATTTGTGGTTATTTTAAAACTGCTCGAAAATCGCTCTAAATTTCATTTAGTCGTAGTTCGATTCAGATCTGCTTCGAAGAAATCATCAAAAATAGATTAAATTTGCTTCAAAATGATTTTTATCTTATCATGATATCTCAAGTAGTTCTTGAGATACGATACTTATAACTTTGACGATAACCTCCATAAATATAATCCTGCACACTTAGGTTCAAAAAATCATAACAACTTGATTTATGAAAACGAAGATATCATTTATGGCACATCAAAAATAGATTAAATTTCCTTTAAAATGCTTTTTATTTCATCATGATATCTCAATTAATTCTTGAGATACGACAATTTTAATTGTTAACATTAAGCGTAAATACGCTTATCTTCCAAGAGTGTTTAAAGTAGTGCCCACAGCAGACAGATGCCGTTAACAAAAGACTAAAAACTGTTTGCAGAGGACTGGGTGTTGCATGCAAATGACGAAATAGTGTCAACAGCCAGCTGGACAGTTCATCATAATACTAACAACTGGTAAGATGGATTTTAATTATAACTATATAATACTAAAAGCTGTTTTAGGAGAATAGATCGTGCTGAAAGAAGACTAATGTTGATTCCAAAAGATCTTGAAGACAATGTGATCAGTAGAAAGGTAGATACTAAATTAAAAAGGTATAGCTACTACTGGCAGAAGACTAAATACTGGTGACAGAAGACTAAATATTGCTACCGGAACACTAGATACTGCTTAAATACCATTGCCAAAGAATAGAAACTGCATGCAGATGACTAGATATTGGTTACAAATGACGAGATACTGCCTATAGAAGGCTTCTAGCCTTCACTTCATTATAGTACTAAAAGCTGCTTGCAGAACAGATCGTCCTGGGAGGATACTAAATGTTGATTTCAGAAGACTATATAGGACTAATTAAGGACAATATGATCATAAGAAAGCTAGATACTGCATGAAGAAGATCAGATACTTGCGGCAGAAACTTAAATAGTGCTGGAAGAAGGGGAAATGTTGATTGCAGAAGACCATGTTGTGCTAGATGTGGACAATATGATTATAAGAAAGCTATATAGTGTATGAAGAAGATTAAATGGAGCTGTCAGAAAGTTCGAGTAGCCGCTTTATAGCCTAAAGCGAGAATGCGCAGGATCAATACCAACGGTTAAGCTTAGGAAATAATTTAGCAAATCGAAAACACGGAAAATATATAAACAACATATGTAATATGATACCCTGATTGTAAATCAAAGAGCACCAACAGTTTAATAACATTTAGGATGGAACGTTTGGGACAATTTTTAATTAAATCTTAGTAGTTTCTTCCCCATAGATTTAGAAAGGTGTCAGAAGATTTAGTTTTTAGGTATAGATTAAAAAAAAGTTCTCAAAATGGTATGCAAAGAATGTGTTGGAAAGCTTGAACAGAAAAGGGTTGCACTCATCACTGAGATCGGAATTTCACAAGCAATAAAGGTCATACTCGTTATTAACTAAGCAAAGTGATAAATCACAACATGTTTGCTTTAATATCTTATTCTTGAGATAATGTTTGATTTCATAATGAATCATTAACGCCAGTAGCACATTATAATTCAGTTATTAGTGTTGATTGCTGCCACAGAATTCTCGAGCCTTTATCCTTGTGAAAAATTTAGTGAATTTATGGGGATTTATAAATTCGTTCCGGATAAATAACACCAACCAAGAATGACCTACATACCAGGAAGAAAAATGTATTGACTCAATAAATCTCCGAGCATATAAGAATTAGTTGTAACAGTCATTCCCAATTTTCTCCTCATCATCAAAGATCGATCATTGAAAAGAACCATTAAACAATTGAGAGGAAGTTTAGAAAAAACCTATCGCAGGAATTCGAACGAGACAATACCACGGACCGCATATCCTTGATAACCAGGACGTTGCCACACACACACACACACATACATGTACACACCGAGCACCGGTCGGAACACGGCCCCGTGAGAAAACTGTATCGGGGCGACCGACGCGGCGCCGGTCGTTTAGCATTGCAAAAATCATACGCGCGCCGCGGTGTTTCAACACATATACACGCGGAGCGGAGCGGCGCGGCGCAGCGGACACTCTCACAACAATCCGAATCGAGGCGGCTTTGTCGCGCGCCTCGACGTCCAATTGACGGCTAAATTCACCATGTGCGAAGAATAACCCGTTCAACGCAGAACGACGGACGACGCGAGATGTGGTCCCCATCGTGGGAAAACGTGGGTAAGGATCGGTCCGACCCACGTGTCTCTCTCTATGGTACACCCACGCGAACCCACACCCTAAAAACACCAAACATACTCAACTCGGAATTAAAAAAAGAATATCAACAAATAAAAATCTCAACGATAATTATTAAGTAATTGTTTCAACTTGGATTGGAGTTGAGTTCCAATTCGAATCGAACGTCAGACGATGGGGATTCCACGTCTAGTAGGCTGGGTATGACTCAGCGTTGTGGAGAACTCTCTCGATCGGTAGCAATGATTGAGTGTTTACCACCCCACCTCAAAAATTATTTAGGATATTAAAACCGGAACTATCATTAAAAGATAGAGAAGTAAGTCGGTAATGTCGCAACCTTTTTCGCAATTAAAATGCGTGTGAATTCGTTGCGAAATCTCTCTATCCGGATACCGGTGAGCGTACAACTCCGAAGTCCTGCTATTATTATTACTATACTACGACAATATTATGTGTGAGTGTGTCGCCGGGCGTATTGTTTTGGCGGTGGGAAATCTGGTTCGAATAAAACGAGTGAGTGTTGTTTCGTAATGTACCGGGCAATTAAGAGGGACGTGTTCTTTTTTTTTTCTTGTTTGGACATAGAATGGGTTGGTGTTGTATACAGAGTGACTTATGATTTTTTTTTATATTAATTGGAATAAATTAAAAACAAAAAAATATATATAAAATTTTATAAATTAAAAAAATTTTTTTTTTTAGTTGAGATAATATTATTTAACTAAAAAATTTTGATTCCAAATCAAAAATTCTCTAAAATAAGCCCAAACACGACTAACTTATTTTTAAAAACACGGAAGATATGGTGATTTTAAAACATTAAACGTCAACTGTCAAAAATAAAAAATTGACGATCGATGTATTAAATTAATCATATCTCGCGTGTTTTTTAAGATAAATTGGTCGTGTTTGGACTTGTTTTAAAGAATTTTTTATTTCCTACATCATCCTTATATTTATTAT